TTCCCAAAATCATCATCTGTCAAGGGAGACGACACAAGGAAAAGACTGTCCTTGGCCCACTTTTGGATACACACCAGGTGAAATATACAGAAGCATCCACAACAGCTCCAGACCTAAAAAGTAGATATGTGCCACTTTTTTTTTTTTTAATGAGTATTTTTTTCCCCATTTCAACTGATGAAAATTCACATCAAAAGAAAAACAATCTTGCTATTTTCCCATTTAAAAAAAAAAAAAGATTCCCAAAGGTAAATTATACCTGTTGTTATCTCAGATTAATAGAGAAAGTTTTGTTGCTACAGATTCACATCTCTATTATTATTGCTGTTTTCACCAAAGCTTATGGAGCCCATGTAGCCATAGAAATACTGAGTTAAGCATGCTTTTGGAGGTGATACAGTGCTACCTCTTGCCCAAAATGCAATTACAGCCACCTTAACAGTTGCCTAACTTTAAGTTCTGGGGGGCCCCGTAAAGATGGAGTCTCCAGTCACCTTGGGCAACCTATCAAAGGTAGCACTACCTTTCCTGCATCTAGTTTGCACCTTTCAAACCTCAGATTGTGCCACTGCCCTTTATTACACCGTCTGTCACCACAGAGAGGACTGGCTTTAGTTTTCTTCACAGCTTCTAAGTGGCCAGAGCCTGTAATCAAATCATTCCTTTGCATCCTGTCTGCCAGACTAAACAAGCCCAACTATCACATACCCTCGGTCTCTAAACATTTTGGTAGAAGTGACAAGAAGCTTTCCCTATTCAAGTTTCAACAGTTACCTAAAAACATTGAGAAAAGGATTTTTTTTTCAGAAGAATGGCTTACTATATGGTCTTATTTTCAAAGAGCTAAAGAAGTATAATGCAAAAGCAGCAGCAAACACTTAAGAGAGCTGACTTTGATAGTATTTTCTCTCCATCACTCTGTGGCTTCAGCGCACTCCTCACTGCTAGTTCTGGAGGGAATTACTATTTTGCTTAGAATATCAACCTGCTGCTGAAAATAAATTCAAGTTATAAAAATGCAGTTTCATGCCTTTGGAATCTTTTGCATGATGTGTTAAATTGGCAGCTTAGAATGAATGAAATTTTCAGCAAAAGATAAGCAGCAGAAATTTCTTCATCTTTTTAAAGATGTATGATATTGCTACAATTAAAATACTTGAAAGCATACTGTAAAGTACTTACAGCTTGGTTCCTTTTAACTGAAGCAATGCAGATCAGACATGTCATGGCCCCTGACTGAAAAGCTTCATTCATGTACTGTCTTGTACGTTCCAGTTCACTTGCATCTCCATCTTTAACGTACAAAAATTTTTAAAGCAATTTTTAAAATTACGTTTGATCTGCTATTCTGTACATGTTGAGAGTGTTGTAAGAAGTATTTTTTTTTCCTCTGAACAGAGGCCAGTTATATTAATAAAAAACCACATTATTACAAGTACTTAAGAAAACTGCAAAACTGTACCACTGGTTCCGCTGAACAAGGCAAGAGGCACAGCAAGTATGCACTGCTGGGAACAAGTACTCTCAATACATCAGAAAGAAAGAAGTACATCAGAAAAACTGTTTTCCCTCCAATTGTGCAAAAAGTCTAAGTTATAACCAATAATATCATCCCTTCTACGCTTTCCTATTTAAATAAAAGTCAATATACAATAAAAGTTTACCGGTTTGATTGGTGTAAATGGTGAATGTTTTTGCCAAAATCTTCCCTTGTTTTATTTCAGCATCTTCATCATCATCTTCTGATGAAGAACTAAACTGCTCCTCAGCCAGCTTTCTTGCTGCAGCCTGATTCGCTTTCTTAATTTCATCAAATTTCTTCTGTGAAGATAATTCTATTCAAAAGAAACGATTGTCGTGATCTTAATCATCATTAATCGTTACACCACATTCAGTCCTTCGCCCTTACGACCATTTTCTACTTAGCAAGTTTGTTTATCTTACGTTTCTGAGGATGCTATTTTGTTACACTCCCAATACCACACAGGAAAACATACACTACTTCCCCTCCTTCGCTGGGCATTATTCATAAAATCCACAACAGGAATTACTGTCTGTCGATTACCTGTGGCCTTCAGAGGTCCTAAAGCAGCTGCTGTTTCCCACACGGGACTACACGCCCATCCTACCGCCCGATCCCTGCCCGCCGCCGCGCAGAGTCCCCACCGCGCTCCCCATCAGCTGCTAACCACCCCGCAGCCATTCCTGAGGTTCACCGCACCGCTCGAACGGCACCGACTGCTGCGGACACCTCGGCTCAGCTCCGGGTCACTGCGCACACACGGGGATCCCGAAGAGGGAGAAGGGACCCGCGATGTCCCCGCCGAGCCCCGGCTCGCTTCACCGGCAGCGTGGCCGGGGCCGCGCTCGCCGCCACACGGGTCCTCCTCGCTCTTCCAAGTCCCCGGCCGCGTTCTGGGGTCTTCCCGAGGCAGGGCCGGGCTGCTGGGCCCCGCCGCAGCGCTGAGGGGAAGCAGGGGCACTCACCGCAGGTCCCCTCGCCGCCGCTCGCCGCTGCCCGAACGCACGCACCGCCGCGGCCGACAGCGGCAGGAGGCCGGGCGGCCGCCCCGGTACGGCCGGAGAGCCCATCCCCGAGCCTGGCGCGACCCCGGCCCCGGCCACCCTGCCGCCAGGCCGCCTCCATCCCTCCCCGCCAGCCGGAGAAGGGCCGCACGCCTCACGGCCCGGCGCCTCCTGGCCGCAGCCGCCCCGAGGCGAGCTCTCCGCCCTCCCCGCCGGCTCGGCCCCTCCGCACGGAAGCGGCAGGCGGAGGTCTGACTACAGCTCCCAGGGTTCCTCGCTCGGCACCGAGGCGAGAAGCGGCGGGACGGGGCCGAGCGGCGGCCCGGAGGACTACAGCACCCAGCGTGCACCGCCGTGCGGCCTCCGGGCTCCTTTGCGCAGCGCGGAGGTGCTGCCGGCTGGGGGGCAGCTATGGTGCCTGGGGTACGCGGGGCATTCGCGTGCTGGCTCCGTGAGCTCTGTTTTTATGGGTTTCTTCCAACAAACACATATTGATGGCAGTTAATAAAAGGTTTCATAATAAAATTTCATAAAAGATCATAAAGAGCCTGAAAATGCTAAATAAGCTGCTACCGGTCAATCATGGTTTCATTTGTTTTGAAATGTTAGTGATAGGAAAGTGGCAGCTAGCGGCTACAACTCGTCACTGAAAGATCCAAGAGAGACAACGTGCACAGTAGCCCTCTGTCTTTATTAAGACTCTGTATAATATTAGTAATTCCATAACATTTCTCTAATACAAGACCTTAAACTCTTCAACAAAGATGAAAAGTGCTTCTTAAGTGCCTAGTAAGCAATGACACAGGCCCTGTATGATGCTGCTGCCATGTGGACTGTGAGTTACAACAAGAATTCTGGTTGCAAAGTCCAACATTCATAATGCAGAAAATGCCACTTCTTGTTTGCATTGATAGGTTTGAATTAAATGCATATCCTTTTGCCTCACCAACACATTTTCCCATGTCACGTGTTGTTCGAAGCACAGGATCAAGGGTGAATGAACAGCCATCTCATATAAATATTCCATATAAAATCTACGTGTTTATTACTTCATGACATTTAATTCTCACTGTGAAATCAGTTGTTCATAGGTTTCTCCCATTCTAGAATCTCGTCAGCATTAAAAAATAAAAATAAATGAATACACTTTGCTCAAACAAAAGATCCAATATGTAGCATTTCCATCTTACTAAAGAACAGAACAAAATAGAAATATAGATACATTATCAAGTGATAACAGTTTTTACACATGTACTGTTTAAGACTGGAAGTCCAATTGCCCAAGACATTAAAAATACTCTAACTACAGAATTATGTATTCTCTCCGTGCACTCCCTTTCTTCACTCACAGTCACTAAATTAGTCCAACGTTAAGTGACTATGGAAAAAAATATATTGAAAATACCTAGGCAAGTCTGAGACCACAACTAATAAAAACAATTTTTCCAGTGAGAAAAAGACAAATTAAGGAAAAGCCACGGAGACGATGATTTTTAAATGGGTTGAAAACTTACCAGACTTAAACCTGTGAATTTAACTATATTAGTAGTAAGAACAGAAGAAAGAAATACCCAGACAATTTAAGGGAAAAAAAGAAAAAGTATTTGCCCCAGAAGTAGCTACAGAAGATGCTGCAGGGACAGTCAGGCCTCCTTCCAGCGTCTCTTCCTTTTGCACTCTGCTGGTATCCATAGCTGTTACTTTAGCGACATAAAGATTTTTAAGCAGTTATATTTGAGGAGGAGTAGTCCATGCTCAGCACCCATGTGTTTGCACAGAGCAGAGCATTCTTCAGTATCTGCTACCACTGTGGAAAGAATAGCTACTTTTTCAGCCATCTATACTTCTCATACAGATACATAGAAAAGGCCAGATTTTCTCCCCTCCATACTCCAGCCTTTTCCTGTAATATTCCTAAAAAAAAAACCACCATTTTAAAACTGCCCATTCTTACTTCAAGGAATCAGCTGAGGTGGACCCAATGAAGTCATAATATTTTCCAGATCCTACAACCTTCAATGCTCACATCTGCATTGTAGATATACCTAATTTTTTAGGAACAAAAATATGTAATAATATCCCATATTTAATTAATTGTACTTTAATCAGCAGATATTAAAATGTGTTTGTTTATACACAAATTATTATCACGATTCATGCGTATATTCACTTAAGATAATTAATACAGTTACCAAACTTTTTTTTATCTTTCCATAAGAAGACATGAAGAAATGATTTTAAAGCAGTCAGGAAAACCTTCAGTATTCCTACACAAGTAGAATGCATTAGGCGTACAAAGGTGTAACATAAAGAGTGAGATTTTATGTCCCATCCTCATTCTTGATTCTTCTTTCCTTCCTAAAGATGTCAAATACGTGTTGTTTTTAGGGAATTGGTGATATTACCTCAATGGATAATTTTTTGTAAGTAATTGTTGGGTCATACAAGCCTAGAGAAGAATGTATTCAGTCAGAAAGACTGGACCTTCAGTCCTATTGCCAATCGCTAGGTTTTTATTCTGTTTTTGTCACTCCAGGTTTATCTGTGGATGGATCTGCTTCTTCAAAGTCTAAGAATTCTTGCTCTATCACTGGCTTCAGTATTTTCTCGATTTGTGTAAGTCTTTTTTTCAGTTTCTGTTGTGCAGCATCATACTCAGCTAGCAACCTGGCAAACTTTGTTTGTAATCTGTCCATTGTTCCTTCCATATAAGCAACCTTCTCTTCCAGGTCTTTAGGATCACTTCCTAAATTTGCAGCTTCAATGTCCAGCAATCCATCTTTCATGAGGATTTGTTTACCTTTTTCTTCCAGCATTGCCTTTGCATCAGGATACTCTGTTAAAGCCTCCATGAGATCATCTTTAGACAGACAGAATAAGTCTGAGTATCCGATACTTCTAATATTGGCTGTTCTTCGATTGCCAGCTTTGCTACCTTTGATATTAAGAATGCTGATTTCTCCAAAATAGCTGCCATCACTTAGGACTACGAATTGTGTCACTCCATCATCAGCGACTACTGCAAGCTTGCCTTCTTTGATAATGTACATTTCTCGTCCAATATCTCCTTTTCTGCAAATATAGTCTCCAGGACTGTATACTTGGGGCTGGAGTTTCAAAACAAGTTCAACCAACAAACCGGCTTCACAGTCTGCAAAAATCCTAACTTTTTTTAATGTTTCCAAGTGAACATTGATTGCAATCTCTGCTCTTAGTTTGTCTGGCAGATACTTCAAGACTTCCCTTTCATCCACAGCTTTTTTGTTTGTCCAGAGATAGTCAAACCACTTTATAACTCTTTTTTCCATGTCTTTACTTACATTCCGAAAGTGCATATACTGCTTGATAGCATCGATCTTTGCTTGAAATTCTGCCCTGGCAGCATTCATGTTGGAGATCATAGAGCCGACGTTACCAACGATGGTAGCAAAAATCAATACTCCCACCAAGAAGTCAACAACCACAAAGAAATACTCAGAATCTTGTACAGGAGGGGGTGTTTCACCAATAGTAGTCAGGGTCAGAGTGGACCAGTAGAGGCTATAGACATACTTTCTGGTCAAACGGGCAAATTCAGGATGAGAGGTGTTGGGGTAGACCCACGTGTCAGCCCCAAATCCAATGGCTTTTGAGATCGAGTAATACACACAGGCATTCCAGTGAATAATAATCACAATGTACATGACAAGGTTAGAGATCCTGAAGATATTTGGGTAGTTTGTCCTTGTTTCTGTTCGCTGGAAAAATTCAAACATCCGAGCTACTCTGAGCAGTCGGTTTATTCTCAATTCTGGGTAATTCAGCCCTAACTTAAAGTATAAGAGGTCAGTTGGTATGATTGACAGAAAATCTAATTTGAATTGCAGGGAGCTCTTATATTTCTCTTTAAGCTTTTGTTCTTCTTTCACTAGAAGACCTTGTTCCAGGTAACCTAAAATCAAGTTGCATGTAAGTATTAGATTTTTTCATTTTCAACTTTTTGTATTTAGTGTCAAACCAAATGTAAGTTGAAAGACACGTTGTGTGCAACTTCCAGATCATGCATGACTTTTTTTTTTTTTTTTTTTTAAAGCAATTTCTCGTGTGTTCAAGCATTCAACTTAGGACCATATGGTTCAGCTTAAGCTAAAGTGTACAGCTTTGAAAAGAATACACTTCTAGTTCTGACTGTTTTCCTTTCACTGACGAACATTTGGGGGGGAGAAAAAAAAACAACAACAACAAAACAGGCCATAGGAAGTTTAATGGAGGGAAGGAGTTAGAGCCTCAGACTTTCTGTGCCATATTAGAGGTATCTAGTTCTGGGTGTAGTATAAGACTTTAAAATGAACATACTAATAGAAAGAATGATTTATCAAGTATACATACCTGTTCTTGTCCGTACAAACATGTCAGCAATATAGATGATATCAGAAACATAATCAACAATAAACCATACAGGTAAGTAGTCATTCTGAAGCTCATCAAAACAGGCTCTGAATAGGAAAGGAAAAAGTAAGTTACCATGAAAAGAAAATGAAATACTTGCATGAAATGAATGAATGAAGTGAATTTCCTACCAGGCATATGTATTACAGTTTGTCTGAAGTTTTATTAAAGGACTACCTCACCTAGCAATAATCATTGTCCAGTTGTACATGACAGGCATTGTGATGCAGAACAACCAGTTGTAATACATATTTCCTGCTGGATCAATGATGAAAATATCTTTCTTCTTCCTGAGTGATAGGTAGAGAAAAAGGGCAATGAGAAGAGACTGAAAATATATGCAATAAATTCTGAGGAACAAAGAATTCCAGAAAATATTAACGATAAATAAAAGGTCTTTATTGAAGCTAAGCTTCCTTGAATGAATGCAATAAAACAATTGTGTGAATATGCATGTTATATGAGACAAACTATACCTTCCTCACTGTGAAACATCTAGTTCTGAGCAAGATGAATTATCAGCACGATTTATATACAGAAACCAAAGAACATGAAAACAAACAAAACACTTTTCTCTTCATTGGTCAAGAAATGATGATTTTTCCAAGCATAATAAAAAGAAGAAAAAGCAAGAACTTCTAAGTCACATAAAAATTTACTTGTTTATAGGTGACACTGACATGCAGAAGACCTTCCCTTAGACCTTCCTTTGCTGCAGAGCATTATCCAAAATATATTAGATAATCACAATCCACACAAAATCTTTTGTATTTTTTTTTTTAATGTCTTATTTTTTCCATGCAGCATTTATGATCTCATTCTACTCTCTACATAGAAAAATAAATCAGAACAATTCTGTTCTAGGAGAACAACATCATTCCATGCACCAGTTCACTTGAGAGTAAGCATCTTGTTTATACCACACTCATCAATGCATTTTTCTAGTTGTACTTAAAAAGTGATTTTATCAAATTAACATAGCAAGACCTAAATGAAAAATACTTACTCTTCATCCTTTTCTTTCTTCTTATCTTTATTTTTGTGTTTTTCCTTTTTTTCCTTGTTCTTTTGTCTTTCTCCATCCTTTTTATGTTCTGACTTGCTACAAAATAGATTTATGTTTGCAGTTATTGCGGATTGAGCTAAAGCATGTTTGGAAAATTAAACGCTTTAGAAATAGTAGCAGACACCACTGGTAGCAAAAATCAGTGCTCCAATCAAGAAGTTAACAAGCACAAAGAAACACTCAAAAGCCCTTAAAGTAGATTTTCTGTCTTACCTCTTCTTTTCTTTTTTCTTTTTCTTCTCTCTTAAGAAAAAGAAAATACAGCAGTTACTGTTTCCTCATTTAATTATTAGAATCATCTGAGTTTGTTAAGGATAAAGAAATATGCTTAGCTGCTTGGTCTTGAAAATTTGTTTTTCTTATTGCATTAATACAGAACTACTTATACTCATAATTAATAGATAAAATAGCAATAGCTTTGGTATTGGGAGTGATCTTAATATTTGATGTCTGTGAAATTCAAATGCACACGCAATCTCTTTTGGGATTACTTGCACAACATAACTGCTTGTAAGGAAACTATTAGGTACAGATTATTCCTTTTCATGGCTGCTTAAGCAATCAGTAAAGCAGCACTATCACTATTTGAGATTGCAAAGGTACTTACTCGTCTTTATTGCTATTGTTGTTAGCATTGTATTGTGCAAATGCACCGGGTAGATACCATTTCCTAGGGAACATCAAAACAACAGTTATGTGTTATACTGCTGAAATAAAAAAAAATTCCTCTACATTGTCACAAGCTATTTGTCACAATTTTAATCACAGACTAAGTAATCTATGCAAATACTTACTATATATACATATATATATATATATACATCACATCATTATAAAATCAATTTATTAATAGAGGAAGAAGAAAATCAGATGAAGGCAAGTTATCTATGCTTAATTATTCCCAAAATATTAAATAATAGAAAAATAAACTAAACACACAAGAATGGAATGGAATGAAGCAAATCTGGCACACCTGTTTTCCCCTTTCTCTGTCAGTCCAGGATCCTCACTGGTGTCTTGCACCACCACGCTGGGAATGATTGCATGGGAGTGATGGGTCTCAATAACTCCTACCTTCATGGTGAAAATTGTCTTAGCTTGGGTAAGAGAGGAAGATTAATTTCAGAAAGTATCACAACTAGCAGAACACACCTTTATTTTTTTTTTCCCTCTAAAGATGAGTCTCTTATTTCCTTGCTTCCCCCCAAATTCCCAGCAGTTTTTCCAGTTTCCTCTCTCACATGACATTCCCTCCAGATAAAAATGGTGCTGTGGGTGCTACAGTGTGCTGAATGATCAGGCAACTGAAAAAATAGGAAATGTTTTTGAAGCCTTTTTTGCTATTACATGTGGTTTTGAACCAAAGACTCAAAAGTTTTTTCATGGAGATGGATAAATAGATTCATGAACAGGTGACATCCTGAATCCTCAGTATGTTTGACATCTGAAAGTTACGATCTGATGGCAGCAAGAATAGCTGCTGTAACTCTGTATTTGAAGACTGCTGTAGAGTTCTCATTACTTGCGTAGCACATAGGATAAGCACATCTGCTGGAAGCTATTTATGCCTGACTTGTTCATTTCAATATATTAAAAAAAAAAAAAAAAAAAAAAAAAAAAAAAAAAAAGCTGTAGGGTGCATAATTAATATATTGTATCCTGTACTGCATAAACTAATCACTGAAGTAACTAACTTCTGCTGCCTCTTTGCCTCTTTCTACCATTATTCTTATGATTTTGTCACTTATATCTTCATATCAATAGCACTGCTAATTGTTGGAGCATCACTGCTGCCTACAAGTGATCTGGTCTTGAAAGGGCTTTTTAGTTGGGATTTCAAAATAGATGCTATCCACTGCAATATCAATATCCTTCTGTATATGACATCAGACTGTAGAGATGCCTGTAAGCCACAAACTGAGAAATAAGTGCTGTTCCACTGGTAAATGAAGTAAAGTGCCATGGAATAAGCCAGTCTTAAAGTAATTCCGTTCTGTAGTGAAGTACACAGCAAAAGAGAATAAGGGTGCTACAGCTGCAACAGTACTGCCAGACTTACCTGACTTGATTAGCCAATGAAACTAAAAAATATTCCTGTACAAGAAATAGGGGAGGAAACCCATGTTTCAAGCAGCTGACAGACATGAATAACACGTGTAAGAAATGATACAGAAACATACATAACTCTACAAAACAGAAAGATGAAAATTGAAGGCTAACATCTGTTCTTTCAAGAATAGTCCTAAATACTGTCTAGCATTGCTTATCAATCTTTAAACGCTCAACAGCAAGCATCAGGTCTGAAGTATCACAGGAAAACACATAGCAAACATTAGGTCAGATTCATTAGCACCCTAAAAGCTGTAACAGAGTCTTCACTGACTAGCACCAAGGATAGATAGTACTTGAGTGTGTGGAGACTGAAAGTAAACCAGGTTAAATTAAGCAGCTTTGTATCTGCTTACAGCTGCTACAGGTGCTAGGATCTGCTAATGCTGGCACACAAAGCCCCACCCTGGTTTGACCTATATCCTCCACAGAACTCACAGAAAATGGTGTAAAATAAAGCTGTGTCCAACCACTTCCAATCACTTGGCATGAAACAACTGCAAAAATGCTCATCTCAAGGCAAATCATGCCTGTCAGTGTACTCTAAATCAGTCCACATTAACACTCGCAGTAACAGCTTTTCTAGGAACCTGGTTTTCATGTTTATCTTTGCAGAAGAATGACAGCAAAATAGACATCCTAGACTCTGTGATATGGAGACGTATTAATTTGCCCATAAGATAGAAATTAGACAGTGAGAAGTGTGGTGAAACAGGACATGTAGAAAAACCACACCTATCCAGAATACATAGCCTGGAGTTTGGGCAAAGTCTATGTCCTGCCGTTTCCCCTCTTCTTCAGGTGAATAGGAATTTCAATGCATTTTTTTTGCAAATAAACCAATTCCTCTGACTCCATTAGTGTCTAACCAAAAAAAGAAGAACTGTAGGGTGCTTTGTGTTCTGAGAAAGCAGAATTTGCTGGGACTGAAGAGCAGCTTTTGGGGGCAGGACCAGAGATTTCATATTTCTGAGGCACAGAAAGAATTTATTGGGCATTAAGTATGCTTCAAAACTATCTACACATAGAAACTGGAAGCATTTACTATCCTGTAGTCCCAAAGAATTAAATCCAAATCTCAGCTCAGGTGATTGCTGCCTTAAGTTGTCTCCCTTCTCACACAGTCAAGGACAAATGGCACAAGAATATCTTCAAATTCCATTAGCTCCAGCACACACTGCTTGGAACCTTGGAACTGTTGAGTCTAAAGCTCAGAAATAATAATGCAGCGTGTGCCCCATGCCAACTGAACAGACACAACAGTTTCTCCTGGTCTGGGGACTGTAGTCACTTTGTTACAGCATTTGTATCACAAAACCTGGCATTAAGAGCAGCAGAACATTCTCTGTTAAGCCCACTGGGCCCAAGATCTCCCTTAAGGCATTTCTGATTGCCTTACAGAGCTTTTTCATGCAAAATATTTCAGGCTGCCTTTGCTACGTTGTATCACCACCGCGCTTCCTTTTCTGTGGTTGCACATTGTTTCTTCAACTGGTACATTGTCACATCTTGTTACCCTGATGGTAAGTCAATGCCGCATTGTAGTATTCAGGCGTAAAGTTTGAAAGTAACACAGATAAGCGCTTCCTTTGCAAGTATTTTAGGTTTCTTGTTGCTTTTTTTTTTTTTCTTCCTGTATCACCAACAGTTCGCCTTCACTCCCTTGAATTTCTAAACGCGACTACTACATCAAACCACTGCATTGTCAAATCTTATGAACTAAAAATTAAATATGTAATTCCTATGTGTCAAAATCTTCAGGGCTGCAAGAAAATGAAGGCAGCATTATCCTACAGGACTGCAGAGAATGGAAGATTAACTTCCACCTCTCCTGCTTTCTTATTTTACCCATTTCTCACCTTGTCATTGATCCACTGCATTCCAAGCCACAAAAAAAATCATCATCAGCTTTAAAACATGAAGTCTATCAAAACATAAATCTGCACTAACATGCAAAAAGTGTCCCTAGCAGTTCTGTAGCAAAAGCTTTCATCAGTGTGCACACTTACCTTGGCAATGTAATCTGCTGCTTCTTGTAGCAATTCCACTCCTCTAAATGAGCCACGTTTCCTTACTACATAAGTGTAACCACCGTGAAAAGCTAAATACCATCAACATATCAGAATATCAGACTTAAATCCCTTATTAATTGATTTCTCAAGGAGCCAGCTCCATGTGTGGTTCCCTGAATTATTCCCAGGGAAGGACATGGTTGTTAGAGGAGGATTTCCTCGACCTGGTGATGGATTTTGAGATTTAGAGAGAGATGACAGTGACAGTGGCAGTCACTATTATCCTCCTCCTGAGCAGATGCTTACTAGCCCTTTTGACACGCTGAGGAAATGGCAAATATTGGAGCATACTCTGTCTTCAAACAAACAAACAATCAAACAAACAAACACCTGTTAATAACTGTATACTTGTTGTCCTTTGCTGGCCCATTTTTTTAAATAATGCAGATGCATTTTTTACTGTAAAAACAGTCCTTCACTGGAATAGAAGAAAGAGCATAAATCCAAATTTCCTGTTTATGATCTTATCGTATTGATGAATAATAAGAAACAACTTCAAACTATTGGAGGTTCTTCACTTATCTAACATAATTTTTACATTCCTAGTTCTTTAAAACATAAAAACAAACAAATAAACCAAAACAATAATACCACTAATTGAGTATATATATTTAGTGGAAAATCATTGAATCACAGACTTGCAGGGGCTCAAGACATATATCTTTCTGTAACCAAGAGCAGGAGAAAGCAACACTGCTAGCATTCCTATAAGCCACCATAAACTTTGCAGTGCACATGATTGAGCTGTCTTTCATGAGTGGAAGGAAGACTTGTAGCTTTAATCACAAACCCAAAATGATGCTCAGCACCACAGATCAGCCTCCTGACCAGGAGAACAATTCAGACACCATCTGCTGCTACGACTTTCCAACGCTGAAGATAGTTCATTTTCTTTTCTAAATCCAATACACATTTGAAATTTAAAGATATAAGAAACAAAGTTTTAAATGAAATAATGTTCAACAACAAGTAAATATGTAATATTATGTCCACGGGAACCCAGCTGTACAAATCTACAATAAAATATCAACATAGCAAATGGAGTAAGATGGAAATAGTTCTAGCCATTGTTTCATAGTTGTTTTTGAAGGGCTGAAATTCAGTTCCTATCCCAAACTCACAGGCATTAAAAGAATTTCTGAAGGCCTAGTATTGAACCAGGATTGGTTTGATCTGTCATTCTCACAGTCTTTTGCCTGGTCTGCAGTCTGAATGATCCCAGTGTTGAATGCTGAGCAGCTATTTCATGAGTGGCCAGAACGTGGTGGCACTGAGTGACCAGAACTTACACCTCGACTGTGAATCTCTTGAGCACCAAACTATAATTGTGCCCTTAATGGAGAGCAGATCTGTACTTGGCAGATGTCTTGCCCAGAAGTTTTAGGTGTTCAACAATGTCTATGCTGTATCCAAACACAAACTTCAAAGTAAATTCACCTTTTTAATCTGGTGGAGAACAGTGAGTTTTCTTTTAAAATAACCAATCCTGTAAAGGAACCCAAACTTCCATAAGTTGCTCTTACCTGCTTTACAGGAGAGCTTTTCAGCTCTCAAACATAAGAAGTGGAGCCCCACTGGGCCCAGCCAGTTCCCTATCCAAAACTGAGACAATTCCATCCCCCTTTAAAAGCCAGTTAACAAGTTTCCATTGACTGTGGTGACAATTAGACTAGTTTAGAGTCAATACCTCTTCCCAGGGATACTTTTCATACCATTTGGTATTTCAGTGAAGTAACCTTAACTGTTGGGAGGATGCTTGCACTATTGGATTATCATTGTAGCAGGCCAACTTTAATCTATTTCTGTATCCTGCTTTGTCAGTGTGTCTGTAATTCTTCTTAATCCTATTAAAGCTGTCTCTGGTTTCCAACACTCATAATCAAAACACTTGATACATCGAACATAGGTATTCATACATAAATGCATTTTAACAGAACAGTGCAGTGTCCCAGCTGCACACGTTGTAGCTCTGCAAACAAATGATTGGGTGGGACTGCAGCTGGGGCAGGCTCATTTTCTGCGAATAATTATGTGTCTTTAGTGCTGATGCTATTTCAGCATGCAGTGGATGTAATGTCAGAAAGGCCATAGCTGAGAAGGCTCCAAGGCTTCTGGCTAGTTTAGTACAACTTTACGTAAATACGCAATGAGGAATTCAGAATCAAGAAGTACAGTCAGCACCTGAGAAGCCCAGCGACTGGAAAGCCAGCAGTGCAAGCAGTGTCACCAACAGTAGGTGGCACTGCGTTTTTACTTTAGCTTTAGAAGGGTTCTGGGTGGAGAGGAAAGGACTACACGCGGTTTAAGATGCGCGTTAATGTGTTACATTCGTGGATGGAGATGAGGCTGGGATCTGAAAACACCGGGCAGACTTCCAGCTCAACCTCCTGTGAGCGTGAGGACTAACGAGCACAGAAATAGCACCACGATGGGATCCTATGTCAAAGCTCTTCACTTGTATAGAAAATAGATAATGGTGACCATACAAAAGTGCCCCTAACTCTGAATAGTCTGGCTGGATTTCTGTTTAGTTTAGTAGAATTTTATTTCAGGCTAAAGTAACATGGGAAAGCTGGGCTGATTATTCAGAGTAATTTTGCTAAAATACAGACAAAAGTTATTCCATTGAGATCAAGTCTTTTTATTTAAAAAAAAAAAATCATTAACATATGGTACTGCCTCTGATAAAAGCAGTAGAAAATGCACTGTGGTGAAAATAAACTTGATATACATATTCTTGATTGCCATTTGTTGTAGTATAACAGATAAGAAGACACTCTCTGTGCATTTTTAAGGCACCTTGTACAGGACTAGTAATTTCACAGCAAGCATAGCATTTTGATCCTATTGAACCACAATCCAGAAGCACAGTTTCTTGTACCAGTTGAGATTACTTCCTTTACACGTTGTTCCTACAGGTCTGAACTCCACAGGTTTTATCAGTGGGGCAGAAAAAGGAGGTTTCTGATGACAATTTTACTTATAAATGTAAAATTTTAAAGTTGTCTTTAGGTTGTTCTATTTTTATCAAAAATTAACAGTTAAGATCAGAGTTTGCTTGGCAGTCAGTTTCAGCAAAAACATTCTTTGCATAGGTTACAGAATTTTAACACAACTTTCTTCTCCATTTTCCAAGGAAAAACAGTACAAAAAACAATAACAGCTTCTTGTAGCATTTTCCTTTATTTTCTTTTGGAAAAAATGAAAACTGCCACAGAATTGCTCTGACTGTCAAAATCTGTTATTTTGTACACAATAGGACTGATCTTTTCTTAGCTGTAGCTGGCAGAGGTCCACTGGCATAAGAGGAGATGCACTGATTTATTTGCATTAGCTGATGCTGCAGGCATTGATCTAAATCAGTCACATATGCCATTCCAAAGGGTAAACTCACATTATTCTCCTCTTTATCTCATATGATAAGATTGTATATCAAGACCTTAATTTCTTACCCAGTTGACCTTTACACATCATCCAAAATAAAGAAAAATATATCACTGTTGATAAATGAATCTTACGCACTTTCTTTCTTCCAGGCATTGTCTCAAAGTTCTTTGAAACTTGCTGAGTATGCAGCGTACTATAAATCATCAATGAAAAATATATGCATGAAATTTCAGCGAGACCTGGACAGGCTGGAGAGCTGGGCAAAAAAAAAAACAACCGGATGAGGTTTAACAAAAGCAAGCGTAGAGTCTTGCATCTGGGGAGGAATAACTGCATGCACCAGTACAGGTTGGGGGATGACCTGCTGGAGAGGAGCTCTGCGGAGAGGTACCTGGGCGTCCTGGTGGATGACAGGTTGGCCATGAGCCAGCAGTGTGCCCTTGTGGCCAAAAAGGCCAATGGCTTACTGGGGTGCATTAAAAAGAGCGTAGCCAGCAGGTCAAAGGAGGTGATCCTCCCCCTCTACTCTGCCCTGGTGAGGCCTCATCTGGAGTACTGCGTCCAGTTCTGGGCTCCCCAGTACAAAAAAGACAGGGATCTCTTGGAAAGAGTCCAGCGGAGGGCCACAAAGATGGTGAAGGGCCTGGAGCATCTCTCCTATGAGGAAAGGCTGAGTGAACTGGGTCTGTTCAGCCTTGAGAAAAGAAGACTGAGAGAGGACCTGATCCAGGTCTATAAATATCAAAGGAGTGGGGGGCAGAATGGTGAGGACGGACTCTTTTCAGTGGTGAGTGGAGACAGGACAAGGGGAAACGGCTGGAAATTGCAGCATAGGAAGTTCCGCACAAATGTGTGCAAGAACTTCTTTACAGTGAGGTGACGGAGCACTGGAACAGGCTGCCCAGGGAGGTGGTGGAGTCTCCTTCTCTGGAGATGTTCAAGACCTGCCTGGATGCCCACCTGTGCGACCTGCTGTAGGGAACCTGCTTTGGCAGGGGGGTTGGACTTGATGATCTCTGGAGGTCCCTTCCAACCCCTACAGTTCTGTGATTCTGTGATTCTGTGAACCCACTAACTTTTGTAATTATGTTATAAATTGCCAGTCTGCTGTCTTGGATTTTCATATTTTTTTAACTTTTTTTTTCAGAAAAGAATTTTTATTGTGTTTTGACAGTTTATTGCAGATTTTAAAACATGAAATAGGAGCTATATAAAGAAATGTGTGTGTGTGTGTGTGTGTGTGTGTGTGTGTGTGTGTGTGCACTGCAGCCCAGATATCAAATATTCTGGGCTCCATCAGAAGAAGAGTGGCCAGTAGGGAGATGGAGGGGATTGCCCCCCTCTATTTTCTCCTTGTGAGGCCCCACCTGGAGTACTGTGCCCAGGCCTGAAGCACCAGCGCAAAGAATATTCAGATCTGTTCATCCAGAGGAGGCTTGGATGATGTTCAGAGGTCTGGAGCACCTTTTCTGTGTGGAAAGATTGAAGAAGCTGGGCTTGTTCAGTCTGGAGAAGAGAAGGCTCCAGAAGACCTCACCACAGCCTTCCAGTACTTCATGGAGGATGGAGACCAACTCTGTACATGGGCTAATATTGAGAGAACAAGAGGTAATGATTTTAAACTAAAACAGGGGAGACTTATTTAGACTTCAGAAAGAAATTCTTCACTAGGAGGGCAATGAGGCACTGGCACAGCTGCCTGGAGAAGCTGAGGGTGTCTCATACCTGGAAGTTCTCAAGACCAGATTGGATGGGGCCCTGGGCAGCCTGAGCTAATAGGTGGCAGCCCTACCCACTCAGGGGGTTGGAACTGGGTGGACTTTTTCCAGTCCAAGCCCTTCTATGGCACAATCTATATTTCAGTAGAGAAATAAGTGTATCTCAGATTAAATATTCTCTTCCTTAATTAAAAATACTTCAACATCCATCATCTACTAAAGGAGCTGGCTGATGGAGAAATATACCTACAGAAGTATTAACCACATTGTTCCTCAGTATTCTGCTGGGGACCACAGTGAACACCAGAACCACAGTGAGCACTCTGCAGAATGGTCAGTTGAGCTGCTTGCAGGAGCAACACTTAGTGAGCTTCAGTTGCTGTGCAGGAAACTGGGAGCACGACACATGAGAGAGCCATAGGCTAGTTGCTTCTGTTCACCCACCTCTGGGCAAACAGCACCAGAATCTGCTACCTGCCTATGGAACAAGTGGCAAAGAACAGCATGGGCAACATGTTGCATGCTTTTTGTAGTTGCATGCTCAAAATGCTCACCTCTTCTCCCAGAAGTGAATAGGAACAAAGTAAAATTAGAGCATCGTTAAATCATTTGAGCTGGGAGGGACCCTTAGAGATTACCTAGCCCAACTGCCCTGCAATGGACATCTACAGCTCAATCAGGTGCTCAGAGCCCCATCCGGCCTGTCCTCAATGTCTCCAGAGACGGGCTTCCACCAACATTCTGGGCAACCAGTTCCACAGGCTCACCATCCTTATTGTAAAAAATTTCTTCCTTATTTTCAATCTCCTCTCTTCCAGTTTGGAACCATTTCCTCCAGTCTTACTACAACACACCATGAATGCACCCCTGGAAGTGCTCCAGCAGGTAGGTCTGTATCACTCCTGTACTGAGGGCTCGGGGTGAGGCCTCACCAACACAGAGCAGAGGGGTTAGGATCACCTCCCTCGACCTGCTGGCCAAACTTCTTTTGATGCGGCGCAGGTTAAGGTCGGCTTTTTGGGTTGCGAGGGCACCCTGCTGTAGCAGAAATGAGAGAGCCGGCCGGATGCAGCAGCTGTCCAGGGACGGGCAGACACCGGTCCGGTCACGCCAGGACCTGGGCTCGCAAACGACGGACGCGGCACACGAGGCGTCCCACGGGCCGCCTCCTTCGGGGCGGGACGGACAAGGGACAAACAAGGGCCAGGTAAGGGACCGGGCGGAGCCTCCGCCGCCGCCACCTCCTCCCGCCAGCTGCGGAGCCGGCGCTGGGCTCCCGCAGGCGCAGGGCAGCCACGGGGCGCGATCGGTCAGTGCTGCGCGGGGCTCCGCCGCTCGGTCCTGCGCGGGGGGTGCGCGGCTTCGCGCGGCTGCGAGACCGCCGCGTTGCGCGGAGTTCTGAATAAGAAGCGGCTCGGAAGCAGGAAACTCTGCTGCTGTGAGCAATGAGCATCTGTCCCTCCACCACGGGGCTGCTGCGATGACGGCTGCTTTACTCCGCCGTGAGGTCACGCAGGTGCTGGCCGGGGGTTGTGGCGCTGGGAGGGCTCCTGCCGTGGGTGGGCGGTGTGAGCGGGGGGCGAGGAGCGCCCGTCTGCTGAAATGGTGGTAATAATTCGCGTGTTTGTCTTTCGGGCGCTGTTTTGTAGCTGTAAACTCGCTTTTCAGTTTCTTTTGTGTGTTTCTGGGAACGCGGGTGTGCCGGGAAGCTGTAAACCGCACGGTCGGGGGTTAATAGGGATGGGCTGGCATCTCCCCGAGTGGGAGAAGTGGGTACGGCTCCTGCCAGCGTGACCCGGCCTGGGAATGCAGCGAAAGTGGACGGTTATGCATCTGGTAGAAGCAAATGGCTGTTGGGATGAGGTGGGAGCGGCATGCTGGGGGGAGGGGGGGTGAGGCTGTAACTGCCAGCCTGTGGGACACGGCAGTCACTGGCTTCTGTGGGACTGCAGCACTGCAGAAAGTTACACTGGGTATGAGCAGTGAACCCTGCCTGTCTGCCACCTGTCGTCAAATGGCACTCGGGTGGCTGAGGAAACACCTTATCAGGAAAACAGTCAGAAGTGAATTGGTGGCCACCTCCAGCTCTGGATGGTTTCCTGTTGCTATCAGTCTTGAGTCAGAGCTCCCAGCGTTTATTTCTGAAGGAGCAGCCCTGGTGACTGTTTCACGTTGACATTTGGGAGTGGGGAGGGGAAACCAGCTTAGCTACAGAAACCAGGTGCTGTGTGAACCACCTTCCTTGGGAGCCCATTGACTCTTGCAGCTTTTCCAAACAACCCTTAAATTGTTTGCAATGGGCCACAGAGACACACCAGGCTCCTTTTTCCACCTCTCCCTCCATTCTTTGAGCTGCAGAATACCATCGTTCTTTTGCAAGTGGAACAAATGATAATAAATAATAAACAGTGGCCAGAGCTGCTCAAAGTGGCACTTCTCAGCTGGTAGAGGGGACATACCAAAGATCCAGGCTCTCTTTGTAAATGTGGGCAATGATTGGGTTTCAGAAAGGGGTGGCAGTCACTCAGTGATGTTCTGCAGGTGTCATGATGAAGTTTTCATTATTAAGTGTCATACAGTCTGATGGGGAACAGAAAACTGAAGAACAAGTAGTAGTATCATATAGAAAGGAGTAAGCTGCCATTTTCAACAGGTAGACAAGTGCACCATTCACAAAAAAAAAAAAAAAAAAAAAAAAAAAAAAAAAAAAAAAAAAAGAGAAGAGTGTTGTTTTCTTCCCTGTAAAAACACAGCACACTGGCACACACACAAAAAAAAAACATTTACAACCTTGGGTTGTTAACAGACCATATTTATGAAGAGTTTTTGTGCTTTCTTTTAATTAAAGGCTGCTGCTGCCTCTCAACACAAGGCCTGCAGTAGCCAAGTGGTGTTACAGCCTTCGCCAGTCCTGTTTAGCATCATTGTAAGAAGTTAAGCAATCCACTCGATGTTTCATTCCTTTTCTCTCTCTCTCTCTCTCTCTCTCTCTCTCTCTCTCTCTTTTTAATGTTATTTACTTTGCAACTTTTTCTTTGATCCAGGTACCTCTAAGAAACAAAACTAAAGCCGTGTTACTTTGCAGATGGAAAAAAATACTGTAATATTTGTGAATTCTCCTTTCCTGAAGGATTTTTTTCAGATAATCCATAGAGTGTACAAGAGCAGCTAGCCATATATCCAGGTTTTCTTGGATATACATTTTTTTGCCAGATGGCAGTTGAGAAATCCAAAACTTTTCTGGGTTTTCTGGCCACTCAGCAGAGGAGTAGCTCTGGCCACGTTGCAGACATTTAGGAAATCTTCAGTGTGCCTATGGCACACATTCTGCAGAGGTGACCCGGCCATTTGCAGGAGCAGATGACATATTCAGGTCATGTTGCATTTGCGCTGTATGCAATGACAACACGTATATAAACAGCTGTGTGGGAAATCCTGGCTGTCAAAATACATCAACCCTAACCTGACACTGAGTTGTTTGTTTGTTTGTTTTTTTTACTGATACAAAAGAAACTCAAACTGTAATGGAAACTTTTATTTCTACTGTCTAAGTAGATCAGCTCACCCAGTTTGATTAAAGTTACATGTTTTAAAATCACATTCTGCTACCTTTCTTCTGCGTCATGTCTCAGATTATCTTTGTTTTCCCTCTTGTTCATTTACAAGTATTTGCTGCAGAGCAGCTAATGCCTCTCATAAAACATATTCAATTCACTCTGTGACAAAGCAGATTGAATAGCTTTGTTCTTGAGCCTTCACAGTCCCACAGCAAATGGGAACAAATCCGTACAGGAGTGCTCAGCAGGGTGTGCTGCAGCCAAAGACCACCCGAGTTAGCTGGCAGGCAGTAGGTCTCGGGGTAAGGGAGCAGGAGAGAGGAGCATGAGGCAGGCAGGAGGACATGACCTAGGAGCTCTCCAAGCTGGGAAACCATGGTAATACTTTACACTAATACTTTGGGATTTAAAGATATTTTCCGGTACAGATGCAAATCTGTATTTCTTGTTCCTGTTTCTTTTCTTCTATCCTATTTCTTTTGGATTATTCAGTTGCAATTTCTAGAAATTGCATGATTTCAGAAAAGTAGTATCCTCATACTATGAATTAATGTATTGTAACTGCAGGATTTTAATTTTCACCTGCAGTATATGGGCATACCCATCCTGTGCAACCGTTTTTATAAAAGTCTGACTTAGCAATTCAAACCAACTTCTGTTAGATAGAAACTCTCTTGGCAAGCAAGGAAATATGATTGCAGAGCCTGAAAATCAAGTGGAATCTTACAGCAGTGTGTTTGCTTCACTGTGTGGCACAGGACACTCTAGAGCAGGTGTTCTTCACTCCTTACTTGTACACGGTGGTACCTCTTAGTGTCAGCATTCTCAGCTGCAAATGAAGATACCGAGAAGCTGTCAAACTTCATGCCATTTTTAATTCTTCTGATGTTTTACATTTTCCTTCCTAAGCAGTATTAGGTGAATTATCCAAGGTTAATTATTGTTAATAGTGTAATGAAGTAATTCTGACACAACATTAATACTTCTATAGTTTAGGTAGGAGGAGACACAGAGGCACGTCCTTTTCTACTAAATATCCAAATGTTTTTTCAGTTGAAAAAAAGAAAAAGTATATTGGTGCCATTAGTAGGATGATTCCTTCGTGTGTCATTTAATTACAGGGGAAGCACAGAAAACAAAATGATTTGTTTTATTCAATGCTTTCTGTAAATTACAAGAGACTAAGCTTTTGTACTTATGTTAAACTATAAACTGCTGATGTATATCTTAGCAATAAAACCTTTCTTTCAAAAAAACAGACTGTCCTCAAAAGCTGTTTCAGCCTAATTGTATGATCCCCACTACGTGTGTGCTTTAATAACAAAAAACTGGAACTTCTGCCTAAACTGCTGTATGATGTACTACTGGTGCTCCCCCATGCAAAATAATTCCTCCTTTTGTTCTTTTCTTTTTTCATGGATTTGGCTGTGGGTTTGTGTTCTGGAGACGGGATCTGTGCACGGAATAGAACACTTTATTGTGAGGTTTCAGGTTAGCTGGGACAGAACTGTATGTGTTGTGTGGATTTTGTGCTGACACCAGGATCTATCCGTAGGGCCAGAGGGGACATGGAAAGGAGCAAACAGCACAGGGTCAGGCACTTTCAGAGCTGTGCCTGGTGAGTGAACAGCTCTCCCTGCTTCCTCCCTCAGGTGCTGTTTTTGGGCTCATGCCATCATATCTACCAGGCCCGGGGCCAGGCCTTCAGTGGGGCCAAATCCCTCCTTCTCCCCTCTCCCCTATGGATGGGACTTTTAATGAAACAAGCCTGAGGCCTTCTAAACCTGCAGGAAGCCAGTACCAGCCCTACATTGGCCTGGCTCTGGCAGTCAGTTCCAACATCTTCATTGGATCCAGCTTCATCCTGAAGAAGAAGGGCCTCCTGAAGCTGGCCACCAAAGGAGTTCCCCGTGCTGGTAAGCAGCGTTCCTGCTGGGCATGGCTTGATGGTTCCAGTACCAGTTATGTTAGCACTGCCATACAACTCCTCCGTGACAGCAGCCAGATACCAAATGAAGTTCTGCCTTTGTTCTAATCTTCAAGAAGTCTTTATTATTTTTCCTTAATTTTTTTTCTGTTTCCTTTGAGATGGGAAGTTGTGAAATGGTCATTAGATCTCCTGTATTCTTAAAAGCCAAAAGTGGAGTGAGCTATAGAAGTATTTATCATAAGAGCTTCTACAGATAGTACAACTAACTTCCATTGATGGCAGCAGATGCAGAACTAGAAATGTGTCAAGAGGTTTAAAAAAACCTCTTCAGACTGACCTGATAATTCCCTTTACGGCATTTACATGCACAGAGGTAGCGGTTATTCTTTTGTTTGTTGCATTTATTGCAAGATCTGTTATTTCAGAGATTTCACTTTTCACTTGAAAAAATGATGTAACTGAACGCACAATTTACTTACATTTTGTGCAAAAATTAATGCATGCAGTGACATTTTTCTTTCTAATTTCTTTCGATTTAAATCATAAGCAGAGTCAAAAGGCAGATCTCTGTATAAGAATATACTGGATCTGACCTGGGAAGGTACTTCAAAACATTTGTTAAGCTCATCAAGAATCTTAGTTGACACTTCACTTTTTCTTGTCACTTTTCCTCGGTGTGAATTAGTCAAAACCATTTCTCACAAGTCATAAAGCAGCAGAGTGATTAATAAAGATGTGAGTCAAATTCAGACAAAATATTAATGTCACATCCAGATAACAGGATGTTTCTATACTCTATATGATTTGATCCAAATGTGAAGCTGTGCTTTTTTGTTAAAATAAGGTGATTTCTCTCTTCTAAGGTGAGATTTTTTTCCCCATTTCCAGGGCATGGTGGGTATTCCTACTTGAAAGAATGGCTTTGGTGGGCTGGACTGCTTTCAAGTAAGTCACCCTTTATCTCTCAACTATATATAAACGCTGCATAGAACAGTTCATTTTTAACAAATTCATTCTCTATTTTTTCACCCACCTCAGTTAAAAGAAATATCTTTGCAATCACCTTTATGACTGAAACAATTCTGTTATCTATTTTGTTTGCTCTTTGGGGTTCTTTGCAGAACAACAGCCTCTTCTTTATCATCTAGTCAGAAACAATATGGTTGAATCTGTCCAGCTTCTACACATTGTCACTGTTCCTTACAGGAAGGTGTAGGCAGCGCAGGGCTGTCCTGTAAATGCCTGCCTTCAGCTTTGTCATCGTAGTCATACTGCACACAGTACTTAGGGGATATGCATATAACTTTCTCCAGTCCTTACTTCCATTGTGTTCATCCAAATGTTCTTTCTTCTGCAGTGGGATTGGGAGAAGCTGCAAACTCTGCTGCTTATGCCTTTGCACCAGCAACCTTAGTTACCCCTTTGGGTGCACTGAGTGTTCTCATAAGGTCAGTGCAAACTGGAAGCAAACTGATCATTCACTGCCTGAGGGAAAAATAATGTCTTTGGTTAACAGCAGATAATTTTAACAAGAAAACTGAAGGGCAAATACAGATAAGAAAGGCTTGTTTTTCCTCAGCAAGGAGGATCCCTTGATTATTTGGAAATTAATTTCCTGGGTAGAGGGAATGAAGTCTTGTCTCAAAGACTGATCCAGTCTTTGCAGCAGCCTTCCACATATTCCTTGTGTGTTTCTTACCAGCATATACCTGGTATACAGCTGATGCACAGTGTTAGAAGGCTGCAACTTATTTCCTCCTAGAGAAATGACACTTTCCTAAAAAAACCCACCTTATTCTGTTTCTCAGTATGGACAAAACTTAAGAAGAAAATACGGCATTCTCCCCTTAAAATGTTTTCAAAAACGTTTTTTGTAATAGAAGCATAATTTTATATCAAGACTCACTTACTACGCATTTTTGGCAGATTCACACTAATCACCTGGCTGGCTGCTGCCCCTCCTTTCATGCAGGTGGCGATTTTTCACAGAAAGCTTGTGAGAACTTAATGTCAATGCAAAAAATAACTGAAATTTGATCAACAGGTTGAAAAACTGTTCATGACTACATCAGTACGCATGTGGCTATGCCTAAGGTTGTGTGTAATTCTTGACCATAGCCACTCTTTGGTTGCCTTTTTTGGGGTCATGTTATCCTTAGGTTAAATCTTAATCCTCTAGAGAGCTCAGAGAGAGATGGTGAGGAGCTGTCACGTAAACTTGCTTGTGTTTGTTCTCATGGCAAATGGAGTGCTTTAAACCATTTTTATGAGAAAACAACAGCTCACATGATCAGCTGTGAGTGTCCGAGGGCTCTGTATAAGCAGCCCATACCTCTGACCCAGGCAATCACTAATGACAAGTTCCTTAAGAAATTCAGACCCTTCAACCTAGAGGGATCTGATCAGAGTTGCTAAACTCCCCTAAAACTTCAGATTGACCTTTGTTGTGCAAAACTTCTTGTAATTTGGTTGTTTCAAGCATGTTTCCCCTATATCCAAATTCAAGAGTCTTCAAGTTGCTCATATTACAAAGTCTCCCATGTCTGTTGGACCTGAACCTTTTATTTCTGTTTTGTCAGTGCTATATTGTCATCCTACTTTCTGAAGGAGAAGCTGAATATTCACGGCAAGTTGGGCTGTGTTCTGAGTGCTTTGGGTTCTACAGTCATGGTTATTCATGCCCCAGAGGAGGAGGAGATCACCTCATTGGATGAGATGGAAATAAAACTGCAAGATCCAGGTCTGTACACTTAAGCTGACATATATCATGGCAGACACATGACAGATTTTGATGTGCTCTCCCTTCTTTGGATCTGTTGGTGAGTGAGTGGATTGGGATATCTAATCAGAACATCCTGGCTGCAGAACTTTCTTAGGCTGATTGTGCTAGAAGCCCAGAATCCCTTAATAAATGCGTGAGCACAAACGGGTTCTGCACACGTACCGTATTTCCCAAAGATGCAGGCTTAAAAGCAGCTCATCTTACATGGCTTCTTGCAGATTATTCGACTAAGAAATGATGCACTGAGTCTTCCTGCCCTCCAGCACGTTGAGGAGTTCTGAGGCTCTATACGCCAAGTTACTTCCACTTAAAATAAATCACAGCTTTAAATAAGGTTACTTTCAACCAGTTCTTAACGTACTTCATTTGAAATGCTGTTCAATTCTAAGTCCCAATTACTACCTTGCTCTAAGTAAGCAGTCGTTCATACTAATTCAAACAAATATCCTTGAGGTAGCCCTGGAGTACACTTCAAAGAGAATGTGTGTTTGAGAAGCGGAAGAATTTCATATGGATGAGTGTAGCATAGGACAAAATGAGCTAAATTCAAGTTAGTTCATGAGTCAGCTCATAATTTAAAAGCTCCTACAATCAAAAATTAAACATATAGTTGGCATTTTAAATACAAAGCATGTATTTTGTGTTTATTTCAATGCACTGAGTTTGTGCTCCAGTTCTTAGAGAAATTGACTTGAAGTTGAGTGACTTTTAGCATGTGTTTGAACATAGTCTGATATTTCATCTTTCCTCTTTCATACAGCGTTTGTTGCATTTGCTGTTCTCCTAATATCTGTTGTCCTCGTGTTGATTTTCATTGCGGCTCCACGGAGAGGTCAAACTAATATACTGATCTACGTTTTAATTTGTTCACTTATTGGTGCCTTCTCTGTGTCATCTGTCAAAGGCCTGGGCATTGCCATTAAAGAAATGCTGGAGTGGAAGCCAGTTTATCGACATCCCCTGGTTTATGTTTTGGTGGGAATCCTATTGCTCTCAGTCAGCACCCAGATCAATTATCTCAACAAAGCACTGGACACATTTAACACATCTCTAGTGACACCTATTTATTACGTGTGTTTCACCACCACAGTGGTGACATGTTCCATCATCCTGTTCAAGGAATGGAGTAGTATGGACCTGGATGACATCCTTGGGACCCTCAGTGGATTCTCCAGTATTATAATTGGAATTTTTCTATTACATGCTTTCAAAAACATAGATATCACCTGGAGCCAGTTGATGTCCAGTGTTACAAAAGAATCATCATTGCCACATTGTGAGTATGAAACCTCTCACACTTTACTGGAAAGCATGGAAGACCCAGCTGTGTTATATGGGGAAGACAATGTTTTATTCAGCCAATGAAACTCTCAAGTGACAGCTTCTCATTCCACTGTCATGAACTGCAGACTTACCTGTATCTACCAGACCGCTCTTCGTCACTGCTATCCTCTGGAAAACTGCCTGTAAAGGCACACTCCTCTGTGTGCCAGATGTTGGTAATAATGAATTAAAATGTTCAATAATTGACATGAGGGACAGAAACCTGGTGGTTATAATATGTCAAGAAGTGAACAAGTTTGTCTATTTTTTATGCAACATCTCCTATTGGAGAATTTTAGCAAGAAAGGATTTTTTCCCACATCTTGGGCTGTTCAGGGTGATGCTTGCCAGAGATTTAGCAAGAGAGCTGGATTATTAAAAATGACTTCTGATCAGCTGAGATATATATGCCAAGCAGAATCTCTTCATAAAGCAGGCTGTGTAATGTGCAAGCAGTGGAGTAAATGTTGACACTTTAGGTTCCATTGTTCTGTGAACAGAAAGCTCACAATTCTTCTGTAGAAACAAAATGGTTGCTACAGCTTGCAGCATGCTTGCACACGTGCTTGTGTTGTGCCAAGTTTAATCCCGATGCCAAAGCCATGCACCTCCTTTCTGAAAGGTGTTCATGAAACTTCTTACTTGTTAATGACTTTTATTTTAGTGAGGATTTAGAAGCTATGAAAACCTGAGAAGTGGCTCTAGGGATACTTGAAGTTATTTCTAAACTGCAAGCATCTTTTTTTTCCACTTGAATAGGTTTGTAATTGACATACGTACAGGAGGAAGTAGTAATTGTACCAATCACCTAGACATTATTTCTAAATCCTTGATTAGATGAAGCAGGAATTCTGTATTTCCTACTGGACCTGCTTATCTACTTTTATGTGTAAATAACATCTACTAGGAAAACAATGTTATTTTCTTGCAATATCAGAAAATCAAAGTTGATGCTTATTTCCATGGTGTACAAGAACTCAAAAATGTTACAAAGTAAATTATTATCTTTTGTATAAAAGCTTTTGCTAGAAGAGATATTATTTTTGAAACTGTTCATATTTAGTAAATGATTTGGAATAAGTTTAATTTTTACTGAAATTATGCTATTATTTTTCTTGTAATAAATTATACATGGTTTATGTATTAAATGACTGGTGTTTTGTAAGCATGGGAGAAAAAAGAGAGTAACCCAAGTTTACAATCAGCAATAAAATCAGTTTTAGTAGCACATCCTGTGCACACACACAGATTCAAGATGAAAGATGTCTGGATGAAGTCCCTGCAGTTCATGTGAATCTGGCTTGATCGTGACCTTCTTTTAGTAGCTTTGACTTCTGATTTTTTTCCGATAGGAAAGAAAATGTTGTACTCTCTTAGAAAGGCCACATGTGAAACTACCTTTAAATAAAAAACCTGCAGTATTCTGATGCAGGTGGAGGGCAGAATATGGGGAGACCGAGAGGTTTTGGTGTCTTACAGAGTGACTCAATTTTTTTGGATGTGTTATTTTCACCCTTATGTTCTACAGAAAACATCAGCAAGGAGCATTTAATACTGATGAAAACATTAGCTGCCAGAAGACAAGGATTTTGAGGAATAAGATTGGTAGGCAAATGAAATGTCTTCCCTTCTGAACTAGGGAAGGAAAACCAAAGCTGAATATTAGGGAGTTTTTTGTTGTGCTCATGTTTTATGGACAGTATTTCAGTGAACTTTCAGCAAAATAGCAGCAAAATGAAAGCTATTTTTCAAAGTAATCTGAAATTTTTGGAAAGAAGGTAGAATGGTTAACAACTGCAACAAAGGAAACCTTAAAGGCAATACATCACTAACCAAATTAGGGCTTTTAAATGCAGAAATGGAACCATCTTGGTAGTTACTCATTGCCATATCATAACTTGGGACAAATGAGCAATTAAATTAATTACACAGCTGTGCTGATTAGATGTAGGTAAATCAAAAAGACTTGTTACATGATCTGCAGGGAATTTGGAAGGAAGCACATAGGTCATTATTCCCTGTAAGAACCTGCCTTCCCAGCCACACTTAAAACAGTCATGCCCCAGTCAGGTTTGCTCCCAAAGAATCCTCATTCAGAACTTGAATTTCTTTACTCATGATGGTTGTGGCCTGGAGTTCTATCTTTAATCATATACTCATGGCAAATATCATCCTCTTACTATTTAAGTTCCAGCAAAACCAAACCAGCAAATGCATTAGGAAACTTTTAAGTGTTTTTCCCAAAACTGACTCCTTTCTGGCAAGTTTCTAAACTGGATGAGAGGTAGGCAGAAGCCAGGCTGGATGATGCATGAGGAGTGGCGCTTAGGTTCGTTTGTTACCTTCTTATGAAACTTCACTGTGTAGGGGTGGGGAGGGAAAGCTGCTCTCAAAAACAAATGGCACTGTAGAAAAACTTGCCCAAACATGTAACACACAAGTGATTACTTGCCAGGAGTACTTTTGAGGATGAAAGTCATCTCACGTTCTGGAAATATGCTCCAGTTTGTCAGCAATTCAGCTTTTGATAGAAAAGGGGTACATCCTATGGGGTTGCTGCACAGAAGCTAGGAAAACAGCTTCTTTTTTTTTTCTCTCACCCACGATACCAGCTGGCTGGTAGTCTGTTTTATGATATTTGATGAGGAAACAGTGGCCAAATTTTTTTGCCATTGCTAAGCACTCTTAACATCCCTTTGGAGACACGGTGCTTCCTTCCAATCTTTACTGCTCTTTTAATAGAACCATTTAGTTTGGAAAGTCCCCTAAGAATATCATATCCAACCAACCACCCTTTAGTACAAACCATGGCCCTTAGTGCCACATCTACACACCTCTTTCATACCTCCAAGGACAGAGACTCCAGCACTTCTCTAGGCAGGCCATTTCAATGCCTAATCACCCTCTGTACAATCAAACACTTCCTGATAACCAATCTAAACCTCCCCTGGCACAGCTTGAGACCATTTACCCACATCCTATCAACTTGTCACTGAGAAAAAGAGACCGCCATCCTTCTCACTGCAACCGCCTTTCAGATAGTTGTACAAAACCATGAAATCTCCCTTCAGCCTTCTATTCTCCAGATCAAACAGCCTCATCTGCTCCTCAGATATCTTACTTTCTATCAAAAATCTCTTTTGAAATACTCAAAGGTTTATCAGGAAAAAAAAAAAAACAACAGCTAGCAGACACATATGCCTCTGTTATCAGTGGCATGAGCGATTCTCACTGCTCACCTATCATTTCTTTCTCCTTTTTTCTTTTTATATGTCTGGGGTTTGAGGTATGCTAGGAGCCACCACAAAGGCTAAGTTGGCCTGTTGGTCTGTATATGGGTGTAGCTTCTCGAGTAAGTAAACATGCCCTACACACACAACCCTTGCCCTGCCGGACCTTCCTTCTTACTGATTAAACACTGATTCCATTGATCCTGAAGCACATTATAGTGCTTTTTAATTTATTTACTGTAAGCCTTGTGACATCAGCTATTAAATTCATCTGCGTCAGAGTGGTGACATCAGCCCACTCACAGTTTGCCCAGCCTCCAGAAAGGTGGAATTCTGAAAGTGAAGGAATGGTAGGCAAGTATTACTTTCCATCTGAGACCAGTGTGTGTCAAAGATACACTATGGGACAACTCAACAATGCAAACAAAAGCAGGGTGCTTCAAGAACTTGAACTTACCAGAGCCCCTTTTAATTGCATGGTACTGTGGTATTACATATTAACTTGCAGTAATTCATGTAGCAAAACCAGTTTTACAAGAGCTGTTGTAAAATATTACTCTTATATTATTAAAAGTCCCTGAGTGCATTTATACTTCAGACACAGTTTGAATTACTTTTTTTTTGTAGAGCATCATCAGCTCAAAAGCACTGTATTACTGTACTACAGGCATAAACTTGCAATGAGCTCAAAGCAGTGGTTTGTACAGTATTGTATAGGTTTGTGTGCAGTTAGAGGGCTGAGATGGAACTGAATGCTCATGAATAAGTCAGTTATAAAAGTAAACAGAGCCATATGCTGGTGGCAGTTCTTTCAGCAGATTACACAAAAGGATGAGAATATCATGTTTCACTTGAGCAGAAGGATCTTAAAAGCGTGTGTGTGAAGTTACTCCCAAATAGTAAAGTACTCCCTTCCCCAAGGGGTGGTAACTATGAGAATGCTATTGCAATAAAAATGAACTATTATTGCCATGAATTTGGCCCAGAGGTGTCATCACCTTCTGGAAATCCAAAACTCGGAATGATTGATTGTATTGTTTCATTTACTTTTAAAATGTGGAAATGAACAAACTTGTTCAGATGTCCATCATTCTTCATCTACTGGCTTTGAAGTATTTTTTCTACGATGTGCTATAAAATGAAATATGATGTACTTACCTATTAACAATTCACAGCACAATCACATTTTTAAACTACTATTTATTTGTAATGACCTGACTGTTCTCTGTATTGAAAAAAATCACCAAATTCACTTGCTTTTTCTGTAATACATTTGCACTAACCAAAATTAAGAATTAGAAGTGAACAATAAGCTAACAGGCACAGTTACAGATATGGTGCAAGTAAGGTCTCACAAACTCTATTTGATCTAAACTAACACAAAACACTTTCTTTAATGGCCAATTTCCAGTCTCTCTTTGTTCACCATTTTGGGCACTGGCAGAAGGAGTACTAAGAAAAGCATTTGATGGGCATTTGAGTAAGCTGCAGCAAGCAAGAAATGGAAGACAGTGAAAAGTTCAGGGAGAAGCTTGAATAAAACAATCTATACTTGTTCTCTCTGTTTCACACAAAATTAGCCTTTAGCTATGAGCAAGATTAAAATTCCTCAGGGGTGCTGAGCCCTTCCAGCTGTTTGGGATGTGGGTCAGGAGCTGCCAAAGGACAACTGCTGCCTCCACCTCTTCTGTGTGTCTGGACCCCCAGCAACACGCAGTGCAGTATCCGGGCAAAAATCCGCATGCTGCTCTGGTGGCTGAGTTACCTCTGAAACTGCTCCATTCATTCAGTGTTACGCAGTGCAAAAGGTTCTGCCTTTAGTCCTGGAACTTTTTCACAGGTTCTTCCACCACTTTTGCTGCTGCTAATCACTATTTCCTTGTGCATGAACCATATTAAGTAACAAATCATCTCTTATCAATATTGTTACAGGAATTAGCGTAGCTCTGACAAAAAGAATAAGGAAAAGAGCTTATGTGGTGAGTAAGCTTGGTTACTTCTTTCTAGATAGGACATTTTTCATGGAAATAAAGGCTTGAAAGTACAAATCCAGTAATCCAGTCTCCTCGGGTATCTTTCCCAAATTAGGCCAAGCCCAAACAGCTTCAATATAGGGATGCTGCTACCATAGTTTAAGTAAAGACTGCTCTAAAAGGCTGAAGTTTTCAGTATAGGCTACATTGGCCAGCTCAATGCTCACTTTTCAGTAAATACACCTGTATAAAATCCCCAATTATCCCATCTCCATTATATCTGTGAGGGCTTCTACTAATTCTGCAAAAGTAGGACGTCCTTCAGGTTTCTGGAAAAAAAAACAAAAACAAAAAAAAACAGAGGAGACATTAATAGAAATTGGTTACAAGTACAGTTAAAGCAACCACTTAAAATTATTATTCATATTATTATTTTATTTTATTGACACAGATTGAAGAGATCAAGTTTATCTTGTTCTGCACATTAATGTGCCAGAAATCAATAGAATGAAAAAGTACTTTCAGAAGAAAGCATTTGTATGCAAAATTCCTCTGCACACTACAGGAGGAAGCACAGGGCATATACTGACAGGGTATATATATTCAAAACCAGGGATGGCATAGACCTATTGTGTAGGTTATATGCTTGGTATTTACTGAATGCAACAGTGAAAAGAAACAGAGGCTTTTAAACTAGATGTGGTTTGTGAAAAAGCACAGCAAAAACTACTGAGGATTCTACAAAGTAGAGGTTTACTGCTCCAGTTTTTGAGGATAGCCTTCAGATCCACACTGCAAGTGAAGTAAAGTAATGTCACAAGAAAGACCAACAAACCTCATGCCAGCAGCTGTACATGACTTTGTACACAGAGTGTGATGCCAAATGTGGTCGATAAAGTCGGTTACCTGCAGAAATCTCACGGATAACTTCATAATTTGATTTACTTTCAAAAGGCATTTTGCCTTCTGTGAAAACTTCCCACATCAGTACACCTAAAAATGAATCAAAATACGTAGGAGAAAGCAAGTTGTCTAATAATACTAGAAGTCCCATTCTTTTCTGTGTATTTAATAATGAATGAAAAATATAAGCAACCTGAGGTGAATGAAAAAAAAAGTGAACTGATGTAATTATGCTCATATTGAAGCCAGCTAAAGTCATGGTTCATGAAAATGAAATAAATAAGCATTTGGTTAACGGAGACATATGTCTGTTGAAAACAATTTTTTAAGATTAAAAGTGTGTTAAAAAAAATACACACACTCTTCCTATACAGACAAGAATTGAAAAATGAGATAGACTAAAGATTAAGATAGGAAACATCCAGAAAAGTTGCTCTTTCCTCAGTCTTATCAGTAGTTTGGGGGAAACAGCTTGTCACACATTAACCTAACCCACTTACCAAATGACCAGATGTCAGATTTACTGCTGTACTTTTTGAAATGAAAGACTTCAGGAGATGACCACTTGATTGGAAACTTGGCACCTGAAGAGCTGACATATTCATCATCAATGACGTATCTAAAGAACATCAGCAAATACCGTGTATTTTAGTGAGAGTTAAACTGAAAGCAGTTCTGGCAGCACCTTGCACAGGTAGTTTACAATTCCATGAAAATACTGTGTCAGTTTGTAAGAAAAGAAATTATATCATTAATTTAATATAGAATGCACACTGGAATACATGCAGTTAAAGAAATTTCAATTTAAATGAGTAATTTGATTGCTTGTGAGAGGTATGTCATAATTAAAAGATTTAGTGCTATCTGTGTGCTCACAGGATGGCTGTTGTTATCACCTCCTGGGAAAAGTCCCTATGCTGCAGGCAGGAAAAACAGCAGCAATACATATTATTATTACTTTTTAAGAAGAGAAGGAATGGTCTTAATTTGTGCCCAGGGAGGTTCAGTTTGGATATTAGGAAAAAATTTCTCTCCAAAAGGGTGATGAGGTATGATAACAAGCTGCCCAGGGAGATGGTGGTGTGACTATCTGGAGGAGTTAAAGAAATGTGTAGACAGAGCACTAAGGGACATGGTTTAGTAGGCAATACGGTGATGAGTTGGTAGTTGAACTAAATGGTCTTCGTGTCTTTCCTAACCTTAATGATTCTATGATTCTATGAATTTACGTGCCCAACAAGGGCATTTATACAGTAATATATTAAAAGGCTGAGCCCAATATCCAAACAAGCTCTGTAAATTCTCATGAGAAGACGACAGGTATGCACTACACAAATCTTACAACTGAAGACATAACAGTATCTTTTAAAGCACCTTTCAAAGGATGTTGCACTGAGAGAATCATAGAATTGCTCAGGTTGGAAAAGACTTTCAAGATCATCATGTCCAACCTCAACCTAACCATATCACCCTATCTAACAACCCTCTGCTAAATCATGTCTCTGAGCATTTCATCACCCAAGGATGGTGACTCAACCTAAACCTCCCTGCGGAGCCTATTCCAGTGCTTAACAACCCTTTCTGTAAAGTTTTTCCTGATATTCAACCTAAACCTTCCCTGGCACAACTTGACGCCATGAGAAATTGCTTCTTTGTGTCCCTTTCTTATTTTTGGGGCAGGCACAGAAAGATGAGAGGTTACTGGATAAAGAACATACAACATAACAGTACTAAACTGGTCTGTTCTGAGCTCTGACTAATTAGGGAGTGTTCTCATCACCTCTCAACAGTGGACAGAGCTTTGTTTCTCTGGCCTGTGCGTGCACTCTCTCTTCATGTGTGGTTGGTCCCCTCACTAAGTAGAAAAACCACTTCCCTGCTAAGAAGCACATTTCACACTTCCTGCCCACGTGTCATCCTTCCTCACCTACCCTGTTGCTGAGGCTCCAAAGGCCAGTGCCAACACCTGCCTCTGTTCCCAGTGGCTTTCAACTCTCACTGGGCTCGGAAATTTGGAGCACTCACTTTACTGAGCCTAGAACCATGCAATCATACAATGGCTCAGGTTGGAAGCAACCCCAAGGATCATCAGGTTACAAACCCACTGCCACATGCAGGGCCACCACCTCCAGATCTGGTACTAGACCAGGCTGCCGAGGGCTCCATCCAACCTGGTCTTGAACACCTCCAGGGACGGGGCATCTACAGCCTCTCTGGGCAACAGGTTCCAGCACCTCACCGCTCCCTCTGTGAAGAACTTCCCCCTGACATCTAATACAAACCTTCCCTTCTTGAGCTTAAAACCATTCCCCCCTTGTCCTATCACTATCTATCCTTGTAAGAAGTTGATTCTTCTTCTGTTTATAATCCCCTTTTTAAATATTGGAAGGCTGCAATGAGGTCACCCTGCAGCCTTCTCCAGGAAGCAGAGTGAGCTTCTGGCAGCCCAGGGCACACTGGGCATTTCTATGTCCACAAACTACTGCTGACATTCATGAGATATTTTGTTCACCTGTCTTGCAGTCAGCAAAAGGACAATATGACACTCTGTTCACAGTACAACAGATGAACAGCAATATTATTGATTTGATCAGAATTGTAGACGCTGTGCACAGTGAAATTTCCCACACCAGCAAGCAAGAAGTGAAGGTGGCGATGGGCCTCGTCCCAAATGACACAAAATAGGGCACTCACTGAGCTTGTATCTCCTACCTTGCCATGCCAAAGTCAGATACTTTAACAGTGTGTTCAGCATTGACTAAACAGTTCCTTGCAGCCTAGGAGAAATGAGAAAAACATATCTGAAATCCGGCCAAAGGCATTTTTAAGAGTACAATTTTTAAGAGGAATACAATAGATAATTTACTTTCAGCTCATGTATTTCATATCCTGAAAGGAGGTGTGTGTCTTCCTCAAAAAGATGAGAAAAAAGTAAAATTCTGGCTCAGTGTTGGTGAACACCTTTCACTGCTGTGTGATTTCATGCACATAGCATATACCTGCATGAATGCTTGTATCATGAGTTGCAATAATTTCAAGTATCCTTGCACAATAAAATAACTTTCCAAATGCAGAGTCTAGTTATCCAAGCAGGTATTTTCTTGAATGTTAACATCAGGACATTCAATACGAATTACTAAAAAAGCATTTCTGTGACTCTTAATTCCTCGTGTCTGAAGGGCAGGGCAGACAAGCCACTTATATATCCCAGCACCAAAGTAAGGCAGCAGGGACCAGAAGAAATGTGAATACAGAAAGGCTTTGTTAAAGCCTTGCAGGGCACAGAAGCACCCCTAAATTTCAATGGCATGTTCTATATCATCAGTATTCAGCGAACCTCAGAAAACCCATTGTACTTACTAAATCACGGTGAATGAAGTTATTTCTCTCCAGATACTCCATTCCTTCACACACATCCAGGCACATGCCCAGCAGCATGTCTCTGCTGAGCTTCCCCCGCCACTGTCGCAGGTAGTTGAGCAGGCAGCCATTCTCCAGGAATTCAGTCACCACATAGAGGGGCTTCTGGCGTGTGCACACACCGTACAGCTGGACCAGCTTTGGGTGGGATAGTTTCCTGTTTAACATTGTTTAAAATTGCATTTCAGTTAGAAGATCATTTGTTTCTGGTAGGTAGAATCATAAAATCAAAGAATACCCCAAGTTGGAAGGGACTCATAAAGATCATCAAGTCCAACTCAAAAGGTAACTAGACCATTCGTTCATGATCAATTATCACGATAATTTTGAGAAACACCTTCAGTGTTTTATAAACATTATTCAGTTCAACTATCCCTGGAGTTGTCCTCTGCCTAACACATTTCTGTAAGCAATTTCCTCAAAAAGGGTTCATTTTGCAAAATTGTGATAGTCCATCAGTTATACAGGTGGAATGAATATAAACCTTGATTTGGAAATATGAAGCGGAAAGGTCTTATTTTGTCTGGCTTTCAGGCAGGGGACATGAGAGGCTGCAAACCCATGGCTTTCCCTATGGGCTCTGCTCAGCCTGACATAACACCTCTGTTTTTACCTCTTTCTATGGATTGAACCAACACCTGGTCTGGATAATTCCCTAATTTTCAAAATTAGCAGGAATGGCAATATAGCTTCTAAGAAGTTAGGTTTAGTTAGGTTTAGTTAGTTCTGCCCATGCTCCTAGAGGCACTGAGTTATAGACAAAAGAATGGCTGTAGGAGTAACTGTCAGCACATTTATTGCCTGCTAGGCTCCAAGTGCAAAGCAGCACACATGCTAAAGAAAGGCCCCGGTGAGCGATTTAGCAACCATTACACTAGCTTTTTGGTCCACTATTCCCAGCACAATAGCTTTGTTTTAAATGGACTTAGGTTATGTTTGTTTCTTGGTCATCTCAGTGTCATCTGTGAGCCACAATTACTTTGTACTTACATCATCAATTTGGCCTCCTCCATGAAATCGTCTTCAGACATTGCACCTTCATTGATTTTTTTGATGGCAACCTTGATGGTTGCTTTCCATTTACCCAGATGAACAATTCCAAACTGCCCACGCCCAAGCTCTTTCATAAACGTCAGTTCCGAGGGGTTCAATTCCCACTCCTCTATAAAAACAATCCTGTATATTACAATAGTCTAGGAGACATGCCTACCTGCAGTTCATGTACACAGCAAAGTATCACAACTGTTCATCAGCTATAGCATGGATTTTGATTATCTGGAATTTTCCACACATGTATGTGTTCATACATGAGTGGTACTTTACAGCTTGTAGAATGCTGTTTAAATTGTTTAACATAGGAAAGCCTGAGGCTTGAAGATAAGGCAAGAAATTGGCTTTGATTACCTCTGAGGATTTTTTTTTTGGTACTGTCATCTATGTTTTTAACTTTAAATCAGTTCCAAAGGGCTAATATAGCCATAGAAATAGTCACTGACTGTCTCCATTGAAACTGCCAATAGTTCTGCCCTCCAGAAATATTAAGCCTTGATACTGATTCACAGTAAAAATGCACAGTACAAATTTTGGAAATTCATATAGATATATATACACGTACATACAAATACGTATGTGTATATTCATACATACACATCCATCAGTTAATATTAACTTCCTGATCTGCATGCACAGCACCAGCATTTACTGCTTGTTTTCTAACGCTGCGTAAGACATAATTCTTATTTCTAAAACTTCCATAATTGACAAAAGAAAATCTTCCCAATCAACATTAATTTTATTTTCATAGACTTTTAAATAAAAAACCTTTTTCAAATCTGTTAAATGTATATGTGAGTTTCTGGTCTGCTTATGGAAGTCCAGAAAGGCATTAGTGGTTCTGAAAGAAGCACTTCACTAAACTGAAGGAATTGAGCCAGGCCTTTCATTTGGATTCAACACCTGAGGTGTGTGAGTCTGGTGATTATGAAGCTGGTTATGTGTTTCTTATGGCTGGGAAATTTAACAGACACAATTATTAGTTGTACGAATGCAATCTCAACTCTTTCCCAGATACCCAGGTTTCCACCAAAACAAGATAAAGAATTTACCATAACTAAATCCTGCTGTTGCTGGTGAGGAACATCTGATTGATCTGACTGGATGTCGGAGACGGGTGATAAGACCTGCAGGAAACAAAGCACCAATATTCTGTTGACAAATTGCTCCATATTTAAGTATACTACATCATACTTGCTCTCAAAAAATATTTTTGTCTCTACTCACTCGTGGAAAAAAACGTTTTAATCCATATTGAAATGACAGGCAGAACCAAGAATGAATGGCATTTTGAATGCTAGAAATTAAAAAAGGCTGCCATGAGCCAACAAGCAGGGGTGGCTAAATCAGGTAGGCTGCAAGTCAGTGTTAGAGAGTCCTTGTGCCTCCCAATTCTGCCTTTTGTTTGTGTGTGCCAAAATCTGCAAAAGCTGCCTGCTGGTGCATAGCACAGCTCCTGTTTTTCTCCTGTTTTTCCTCAGATTGCATGCATGCAAGCCGCTGAATTGAAGACAATAAAAGAACTATGATCAAATTTAATGCAAGTCACATTCAATCAAATATGAATCAATAGAATACAGAGCGGGTAAGATCATAAGGCTTCTAGTTTCATTCATTTTTATGAATGAAATTTCATTCATATATATGAGTTTGGTATTTTCATTTCCCCCAGGATATATGCACATTGTAGCTACAACTTCAGCAGAAAGGATCACAGTATACTTGAATTCATTACCAACAGAAAAAATTGTGTATCTTTTTGGAAGGGAAGGATTAGTTCAAGACTGACATCCAATTTCTCAAAGTCTTGATGAGCTTCAGGACATCAGTAGTAAAACCTTATCAGCTTACATCCATTACCTGCAGCATTGTGTTGATGATATTGAATGAGCTCAGGAATAGAGGAGAATAGATATTTTTCTGCTACATAATACTGTTTCAAGTGGTTTTTCTTAATTTGATAATGTCGAATGTCTCCACCATGACTTCTGAAATCAACAAAAGATTATGATTGTCAATAAAAATATTTGATACTACAAATCTAACTATATTTCACCAGTATGGCAGCCACAGCACTTTGTGTAAAAACAGGCAAAATGGGATTGTAAGGCTTTATTGTTTGTGCCACACTGCTGAGATGATCAGTCCTTGGAGTAGAGTATTTCAGGGTTTCCGTGAATGCAATTGATCTTATCGTAGGATATCGGCACCCTGACTCCCAAAAGCCCAGCACCAGCATTTCAATATATGGGCTGCAATTCACTGACTGCAGTGCTGCACAACTAGTGCTGGTGCCTCATTGCTCCCTTGCACCATATATCCAGCCTGCCCCTCATCCCAAGGAGTTTTAGGGAAACTCTTCCTTCACATTTTCAATCAAATCACAACCATTCAGAGCAACTCACCCTTTAGACCGTGAGTATACAGACAGTGTAAGGATTCCCTGTTGGCTTGAATCTCTGACAACAAATGAGCCTTCTTTGGACTAAAAAGAAATGCAGATATTTACTTTCTTGAATAAAAGTCTCCTGAAATAGCACTTGCAGATGATTACTGATTTCAGTGGTGTACCTATGACTACTTGGGAGGGTGATAAAGCAGCAGTGAACAGGAATTGATAACAAAGCAGAGCAAAATTAACCAAAGGATAATATCAAGTGCCAGAGTTAAATATTTTGGGTGAATTACACTCTTCAGTGTGAAATAGTGAAAATTCTTTCATTTATTAAAAATTCGGATTATACAAGTCACTAGATAATTGCTGCAAAACAATTTAATCTTTGGTGTTCTTCTCTGCTCTATCTTGCCCAAGCCCTGTGTTAGCCCTTGAGCCCTTGAATTTTACACAAGCTAGATGACATCTAAATGCCCATCAGAGATAGAGGATAGAACACAGCACAAATTGTTTGATCTGTATATAAGGAAGGATCAGAGGTTTTGTTAAGCTCTACCACCTCACTAACTTCCTGCAAGGATTTAAGTCTTCAGTGTTTCATACCAAAGACAAGCACAGTAAGCTCCACGTAACTCATGTCATTCAATATGGAAAATCTTAATGGAATTTGCTGGGGTTACAATGTAAAATTTTGGGATGTCTGGACAGTCTGCACTACACTGTACCCCAGAAAGCCATCCTTTTATTTTAAAGTACCTTCTCTTACTGTATGTCAAACAGAGTTGGATTTGGCTGTTGAAACTCTCATGATGCCTCTACTGATAATCCTTTGTAGATATTAACTCAACATACAGGCTGAATTACCTTCTGTCGCAAAAGTAGTTCTGCCTGGCTTCTGTTGATGCTCTTGCAATACCACCTGCAACAAGGAGATGACACATCAATTTCAGCCAGTACAAATTAACGTTTGTTCTGCTTCACAGAAATAAGCGTTAATCTTAATAGTTGCTCTGTCTCCAATGTTAACATCTGAACAGAACTAACCACTGCTGCATATCAAGCATCTCTTAATTTGGAATTACTTCATTAGACCACAGTAAATATGACAAATACTTTCCCCATTGAATGTGATTCACTATAATTAAACGTGAGGTGAAATAAAAGGAAAAAAAACAGGAAACATTTATGCTAAATTTTGATGAATTTTACAGTGAAGCTGCTTCAGCCCCCTCTTCTCTGGAGTTATGATGTATTTTACTTTTCTCTCCAGGAAACCAGGCTGAAGAAACTGAAAATAGATTCTAGATAATCAACTGGATGTTCACAAAGGGAAGAGATCAGAATAAAGAGATACTATGTAGTAAGCCTACAGAAATAGGACATATCTAGATTCTGTCATTATGATTTATCATAATTATATGATTATTATGATTGATTTCATCAATCACAACCCTTAAATTCTTCTAAGCAGGGCTACTCTCAAGGAGTTCTTCTCCAAGTTTGCATACACACCTGAGGTTACCTCGACCCAGGTTCAAAACCTTGCACCTTGTTTTGTTGAACCTCATTAGGTTCACATGGACCCATCTTTTGAATTTATCGAGGTCCCTCTGGATGGCATCCCTCCTTCTGCTGTATCAACTGCACAGCTCAGCTTGGTGTCATCATCATATTATACAGTCCAAACAGATAGACCACAATAAAAATGTTTAACACATTCTAAGGGTGATATTTTGTAACAACAACAACAACAAAAAGAAGGCTTCAATGAAGAGAACAAAGAGAACACCTGTTCACAGTCAGTCTTCTGGTAAAAGCTGAAAGATCAAGCGCCAAAACTTACCACTCAATTTTTAGAAAAGAAAGTAGAGTCATTGTCTTCAAGAGTACTTACTCATATGTTTCTAAATTACTTTTTTTGTTCTCAGTAACATAGTTGCTAGGAATTAGACCTTCGTTCCTGAAACGTATTAAGGATAATACAGTAGTAAGATGTAAAATATTAATAGGACTAAGATACACATCTTCTTTTACTGAATGACAGAAGTTATTTATACTACATGTCTTTAGATACTGAATCCCAGCATGAGAATCAAATAAGAGTATAACTCCTTTCACCTGAGGCAAAGTGTTTCTGCCCTAGACTATGAATGGCTACTGAAATGACGGTACTTAGAGTGCCAAGAACAGCATGTTAAGGAAAATTTTCAAGTAAAATCAAAAGAAAGATTAGAAAAAAAGTGACATTTCTTCCAAATCAGAAGTCACTAGCTTTATTTCTATCCTTGTAACAGATCTTCAATACGAAGAAATAGAAAGTGTGTGGTTGAACATATACAAAATAATAACAAAGTGGACTCTAATGGCAAATCTGACTTGAGAATAAGTGTTTAAAAGTATTTAAAGGAGGGTGAATGAAAAGGAGATAGTTATTACATAACATGTAATCACTCTTCATATCAGATTACAGGACACACTGAGAAATTGTGGAGAAAGAGAAACATCATGAAAAAAATATATAAATGCAGCAAGGATCCTAAAAGAAGTTATCCAGTTCTCTAAAATGTCCAAGAACCTTTGATTAGGGGCTTTGTTCAACTTAAATGTCTTACCAGTCTCTGTGGTCTTTATGAAGACTTTACACATACACAACACGTGGTAGAGCACTCGAAGCATATAAAGCTGGATTTTCACATGGCTTAAAGCCCAGTGGTTCACATAGTCCTCAGCTGTACTTATGTTGTTTTGGAAGTTACTAAGCCTATGACTTAACCTTGTATTACCAGCAGAGAGGAGTTGCCACCTCATTTCTGGAGTGCTAGACACTGTTCAAACCCTTCTCAATTAACCCGCATCCCTTGTACATACCTTCTCTATACCTTCAAACCTCCACTAAAATTGCACGCACCTCATCCTACATGCTTAGAGGGTTGTAGCATAATCCTACAAAGGGTTGTTCTTTTTATTTCTCTGTAGGAAGAGGGTTTAAAATTAGATGCCCAGTCTCTTACCCATACTGGTCTCTAGCCTTCCACCAGTGAGGATCATACTGTTCAAGGATAATGTATTCTTCTGACTGCTTGAGTGTTAAATCAGAGGGTCCTCTAGCGAAAAAGTCATACAGCGCAATAACTCTGAGTTTCTTTGTGTAGTCTTCAAAAGCCTCAGCAGGTAGAGGAGGTAAAGGCTTGTTCTTTACATGCAATTTCTTCTTATGCTAGTGAAAAAGAAAGTATCTTCCATAATTAGTATTTTCTCTCATCTATTTCTTGTATAATTCCCCTACTTCTATAGCACCTCAGTAACTAAAAGGTACTAATCATGGTCATAAATTCCTGCCATACAGCACAATAACCTTGTAAAACTATTACTTGTAAAACAGTACAGCTCACAGTTGAATAGTTTGGTATCAAAGTCTAAGTTAAAATGGGAAGTAAAGTAAATAAAAGACAAGCCATCTACCTAATCTTCCCCCTGTTCTTTGGGTGACTGCTACATAGTACAATTGCTGGGACAAGTCAGTGTAAATTAGCAGAGCAGCATTGAAAACAGTGGCAATTTGTCTGATGAATTAACATGGAGAACACTAGAAACATTTTTAACAATTGAGCAGGAACATAAGCTTTTTCTTATGCATCAGGTTAGGTTTTATTTTTACCTTCAGTTATGCTCTGACAACTCAAATGAATTCAATTTAGATCTAGCAAAACTGAGGTGGACTTTTCACATGAAGCTGAGCAAGGTGGATGGATGTGTGCATCAGTACAAGTTAGGGGGTGAACTGCTGGAGGGGAACTCTGCAGAGAAGGACCTGGGTGTCCTGGTGAACAATAGGTTGACCATGAGCCAGCAGTGAGCCCTGATGGCCAAGAAGGCCAATGGTATTCTGGAGTGCATTAAAACAAGTGTGACCAGCTGGTCAAGGGAAGTGATTCTCCCCCTCCACTCTCCCCTGATGAGGCCATTTTTAGATGACTGTCCAGTTCTGGGCTCCCCAGTTCAAAACAGGCAGGGATCTCCTGGAAGGAATCCAGCAGAAGGCCACAAAGATGATAAAGGGCCTGGAACATCTCTTGTATGAGGAATAGCTGAGTACCATCAGTCTGTTCAGCCTAGGGAAAGGAAGACTGAGGGGTAATCTCATTAATGTTTATGAATATCTAAAAGGAGATGGAAGGCAAATGGATGAGGCCAGGCTCTTCTCGGTGGCGTGTAGTGATAGAACAAGTAGTAATGGCTTAAAACTTGAACAAAGGAAGTTCCATGCAAGTATGAGGAAAAACTTCTTTACAGTAAGGAAGACAGAGTACTGGAATATGTTGAACAGAGAGATTGCAGGGTCTCTTTCTACAGAGATATTCAAGACCTATCGGGGTGCCTACCTATGTGACACATTATAGGGCATCTGCTTTAGTACAGGGCTGGGCTCAATGATCTCTTGAGGTCTCTTCCCACCCCTGCAATTCTATGATGATGAAATTGTGCCTTCCTAAAGGTCCCACCTTTCCCACCTCCACCAGCCAAACTCAAAAGTTAGAGAATGAACTACCCTCATCCATGACAGCAAACTTGGGAACCCACTACAATCCTGTCTTTCCATCAGTATGAATCTTTCGATACTCTAATTTTTTAAATAATTATGCAACAAAGCAACCTATGTGCTCAAGAGCCAGTTACTCCTCTGCTTGTTTCAGCAGTGAGCCACTGGAATCATCTCAGTTTTTTTCATCTGCCAAAATGTTACTTACTTTACACTTCCAAGTAGCTGCATAGGAATCCTCTGATTGAGAGGCTGTGTACTGGGTCTCCAGGTCAGTGTCAGGGTCCACATTTATCTTTGTTCTCATTGCTCTAATTTCAAAAAATAAGAAGTGTTTTTGTGATTACACTTATATAAACATCCACATGAAAATATTTACGGAAATGTACAGCTTCATTCACATTAGGGATGTGCAGGGTAGAGCTTCTTCAAACTTGTGCACAACTAGTATTTCTACTGAAGATAGACGGACTTTAAAAAATTTTACATCAGTTTTTAAAATAGATGGACTATGTATAGACATTTTGACTGTCTCAATTGCTGAAAATCTGAAGGATTTCACATACCGTTTTTGTACCTCACAGCAGCAGCAGCAGCAGAAAACAGACTGGATGGTGTGATCTGTAAATAAGAACATTTTCCGCATATGAACTGATTGTTTGTTTACAAAATTTACATAATGAATGACTACTTAGCATGTACTACATTTACAGAAATGTTAGTGTGGTGTATCTTGTATGAGGAGCAAGGATAATACACTATAATTCCAGCTGATTTAAAATGGATTAGAAGTCATTACGAAGACTTGAAATCTTTAAAAGGTTGACATCCGCACTATTCCAGTTCGACACAGGCTCTGATATGGAGGTCATAGCACAAGAACAGGTCTCAGAATGTTATTTGAAATAGGGTTCCTAAGGTCTAGGTATTTTGCTCTTTTAGCTTGCTGACAGTTGGACTTGGTGATATTCATGGTCTTCTCCAACCTAGATAACTCTATGATCATTTACACGATGTATCCTTGCACACACCACGTCTTCACTTGTTTCTCCCTCATACAGTTTTTGGCTTGTTAATCCTAACGACCTGTCTTTGAATAAAAAGGTTTTGTTTTTCTGTCAATCTGTGACAGTATTTGTCAATGTATTTTATCAATAGTTTAGCAAAGTGTGCTGACATGCTACCAAAACATTTAGTAACCCGTGCGACAAAAAAACAATTATTTTCTTTATAAAGGAATATGAGTCAGTAAATCTCATTGTAATAAAAGGAAAAGGAGAAAATAACAGATGACAGAAAGGTAAGAAAAGGTAGTTCTCAGTCAGATGTGGAAGAGACCTATTTTATACATGTTTTGATTAGAGTATTTGTCATGAAAGTTGTAGGGCATTTCCCTTAGACTTAGAGCAGCATCCTGTAAAGAACCTGCTGTGTGGGAAGGTGGCCGACCTACACTAATCAGAAGACACAATCAACTGTTTGATAAAAGTTTCCACTAACAGCTATACAAAATACCCAAACCAGATGACAGTGGCAATTTTCTTTGAAGAAACCAGGCCAAAAACTTGAAGGTAATGTAATTTATTTGCTGCACAACTTAAGTGCATTAAGCTGTCTCTCAGCTGCTTAAAACTACAGCAGCTTAACTTTGAACACAGTCTCTAGCATTGTTGGGCAGTAGAATTGAGTTTGCTAGTGTCTTCAGTGTAATCAAGCTTGGAACGAACAATCCTTTCAAAAAAATCAGCTGGGAAATATTTCTGTTTTATTTATATTGCTTTTCTGCTCCTGGAAAAAAAAAAAACAAAAACAGAAAGAGAGAAAAAAAGAGAAAAGAAAAACAAACAAAAAACCCTAGAAGTTTAATTATTATTTATTTGAGGTGCAAAAAGAAAACTTGTCTATTTCTGATGACACCCCATGTAGTCATTAAATATGTCATTTCTCATTAGATTTGCGGTCCTCATAGAAGCTTATTAGAAATAACTAGAAACACTTCAGAGTTTCAGTGTAACGTGAAATTGATGTTCAAGTAAGATTTTAAAGATGGCAACACATAGCCAAAGCTGGAAGTCAATGCATAGGTTAGACCATGGCTGTAGCCAGAAAAGCCTGTCCTACACCAACCTCCTTTTTTGACATATTTGGCCAACACTGCAAATAGTGACAGCTTTGCCACGCTGAACAATTTGATTAAAGTGGCCTACATCCGTGTCTTTGCTAGCAACACAACCAGATCTCTACATGTAGGACCGCCTCCAGATGCCCCTGTGATGCTCACTGCACAGCTACAGGAAACCTGCACTTCCTGCCTGAGGCTTTTATGGCTGCACACACCCTCCCAACGACTGAGGCTCTTCCTTTGTCTTTACCTTCTTCTATTCAAAAGCTTTAAACCAAAATTTAAAAAAAGTTAAAATTAAATAGACATCTCTCCATATTTAAATAAATAAAAAAAAAAAGCAAGTAAGAAATTAAAAGTGGATTTTCAGCATTTCTTCTTGAATCTCTTTCCTGCTAAATCATATCACCCTAAATCATATCACAGGAATCAATGGAATAATTCTGATTTCCTTGTTTTGAATTAAGGACCTTTTCTTAAACAAAACACTGGATTCAAAGATGTTTAGCTGCATACATACTAATAGCCCTTGATCCTCTGATCATTAAAGAGTTCATTATTAAAAAATTAAGCAGTGGTGGTATCAGTGAATGCAGCACTTCAGAAAGAAGAAAATTCTCCAGCACCCACAGCGCCACTCATCCTTTCAGTCCACGTTCCCTTGAGCTCTGTCAAAACATAAGCTACAAAAATACATTTGGCTTTGATCCTTAGGAAGTAAGGATCTCTAAGAAATCAGTTGGGTGGAGAACCTGAAAAGTAGGTTCCACTCAAACAAGATGAGAATTTAGGCTACTGAATCCAGCATTCTTTAGCTGTGGGGAGAATTTTCTATTTCTAATTTCCAACAAACGTTTGCAATCTCAGAGATCAGCCAATTCTACAAATAATTTAACATGGGGAGAAAAAATGTGGCCCATTTCATTACTGGTATCTTTTTCTTCCTAGAAATTAGTTTTTTAAAAGTCGCATTTTCCTGATGACAGATTAACAAGTATGAAACCTAACACCAGCACAAACCATGATAACTTATAGGACTACGAAATCAATTTTTTTTTTTAGCTTGCCTGGTTTTGAGAAGAGAGAAGATATGTTGACAAGTGAGTCCTGTGGAAGAAGCAGAAATCCTAGGAATAAAATGTTGACACTCACTTGACAAATACTCACAAAGCAGAAAAAAACAAAAACAAAAAACAGGGAAGACACAGTGGAAAGATGTAAGTTCTTTGAGATGGTCCATTGCTACCAGTAGTTTTCCTAAAAAAGTCCAAGAACATCAAGCAGAATGCATCATGTTGATAAAATTGTGTGACAGTATGCATATTGGTCACAAATGTGCAATCTTCCCCATCTTTAGTTATACCTCACTCAATTTTGTAGACTTTGGGAAATAGTATCAAAGGATTAGACAAAAGCAACAGGTTGCAGATGAGTTCTTACAATCAGCGTTTTATTATTTCTTAAGTCTCTTGATCTGACTCACTTTGATCACTTTTCTGATTCTCTGCATCTCAAAGTGCTACTGATTTTGAAAGTGCCGTAGTCCATTTCTAGGATATGTATTTTTATAGCATGTTCTGCAGAGTTCTTGCGCTTCAGTAGGGATACGTTAACTCTATACAACGCTATTCTGAGCAACAACTCAAATTCAGCTTCACCCAGCAAAACCAAGCCTTTACCATAACACTCAATATGCCTCCTAATCAACTACATCTGATATCTAATCTAGTAGAAAATACCAGTGCTGCTAAAAATACTTCAAAAGACAAGCTTTCAGCTTTTCAAATGTACAAACTTAGGCTTTCTGTATTTTTCCGTGTGTAAATTCTGCACCGGAGGAAAGCAGGCTCAAGTTCTACCAAACTTCTTATTTGTATCTAATTTCTATGTGCCACTAAGGACAGCATATGGGAATATCTCCACATTTATAACAATTTCCATCAGAAAAGACAGATGCTGTGCTGAATCCGTCATATAATGGATTCAATTCATATTTATGTAGTAATATTGAAAGTCAAGAAAAGGAGCCCAAATACAGATCTCTCAATCTGCAACCAAGCTGCACAGGAGAAAACTGTTGGGTATCGTTATAGCAATAATTAAGTAGCTCATTTGCTATGTACACACAACTGCTGCATGAAATAATACTTCAAGAGAAAAATGTGGGCCAGTTTACTTACAGGTTGAAAGAATCATATCTGGTTCTCTTCTTATATTCACATGAAAATGCAAACCTTCATCAGCTGTGCCTGTAAATACCCGAGCAGTGCTCTTAGCTCTTCTGTGAAGCAAGGTAAAACACCAATACAGCCTGTCCCCACCTACTTTCCTTAAAAACAACCTACTAGATATTAATCTCATGCCTGTTAAGTGGCTTTTTTTTTTTTTTTTTTTTAAAGGAGAAATCATGAAAAAAAGTCTGCTTTCTAAAATCCAATATACAGTTTACAGAAAAAAAAAAATATTGAACTATAATCAGTAGGGCTAACTACTGCTGAAAATGGTAAAAACATCCCGCAGCTGTATGCCACAGAATTTGGTCCCATTCTCATGAATTTTTGATCCTGACATTTGGGGGGGGAAAAAAAAAGTTTTAATAAAAAGGAGGAGAAAACATGAAGTTGATTAAGGAGTGACTGAGCTCACTCAGAAGAAATGATGACATGGTATTTTAACCTGCCTTTGATCGCATGAGAAGGTTGTCAAGAGAGCTGCCTCAAAGCCTGTTCTGATTCATCCCAAAATTAATCATCTGAGGGTATATTCAACTGAAAAATGCATTCATCTAAAAATGAAGTGGCCTCGCAGTTCCTGATAGGTCACGTAAGCGTCAAACCCAATGAGGGATATGTAAAAATTATACTTGGGCAGCATAAAGAGGCAGGTGAAGTACAGCATTTCAAGAGTCATCTTAAGCGCACACCTTCACTGAGGAAATCTGCAAAATACCAGTACAGTTAGGGTTATCTTTATCATATAGATCAACACATAATTGTTGTAGAATAAAGAAACATCCGTATAGTTTACTAGAAATTATTACTCTCCTGATAATTCAATGCTTCATATATGTTTTAAGTGAAATACTACTTATTCCTGTAAAACTATTTACAGAGTCAGAGGTCTTGGCAATGCCATACCTTGCAGTATCTCCACCAAGAAACTGGAATTCAAAGGAGCAGCTAGAAGGAGGATGAGCCTGGCTCACCTTAGGTCATCCACGTTACTTTTCCTGTTCCAGGTAGAAAATGCAAGAATTTTCCCTTTAACAATATTTGCTGTTGGTATTAAATTGGTAGTGGTTTCGACTCAACACTTCAGCAAACTCATTCCCATAGCTGTGAGACTTGACCATTTAAAAAAAAAAAAAAATAATAATTTCAATCCTTTCTGACACCCTGTAAGTTTCTGATGCAATATCACAAGGAAAAGAAAGCATTTCTTCATACTTCCCCCTCATTCAAAATACAAAGGCTTAGACAAAGCAGTGAGAAGAAACTAAGCCCCTCCAAGACAGAAATGATGAAATGCAGAAATGATGGAATGTGTCAAGGTAACTATACTTACCTTTAATAACTTCATTCAAAATAACTTTGCTATGTTCTTCTCTGCATGGAAACTAGTTTTTTGAGAAGCAAACTGGCAATCTATTTTGCATTACACACATTACACAAGGGCATAGGTAGTGGCAGAAGAAAAAAAATAAAGCACACATGTAATGGAATTAATCAAAAGGTTGGTACAGAAAATTTGAAGTGCAAATACTCTTCAGATGCTTTGGTCCAAAGTTAGGTGAATTGAAACAAACTTCAGCAAGGCTGAGGAGATGTCAGCCTTCAGCAGAGGGGAAAGAGTATGCAGGTATTAAGGAGTTCAACCATTTCTGCACTAAACACAGACAAATCCAATTAAATATATATTCATATTAAAAATATATGCATTTAATAGAAAGCATGTGTACACACAGGCATGTATATACATGGACAATCACAATGCCATATTTACACGAACAATGAGTTTGGCTTACGACGCACTGTCTTGACAGTAAATCAGTGGCAACTCTTTACATGTTGTTCCAAATAATAGTTAACACTCAATTTATTTATATACACATGTAGTACAGTGTTGTCTGTTAAGAATAGAAAGATTAAATCAATGTACATACACATGACAGTCAGAAAAATAAGTCCTCCTTAACTACATTTGAGTGCATTTTCTCTCATTTACAACCCCATGCATTGAGAGTTGTATGTAAGTCAAGGTAGGACAAGCTTGCATTTGAAAATGTCAAGGGGAAAACAGTTTATATAAATAAATGCATGAAATTTATATATTTACAATACCTACAGCATATAAATTATTTTACAATTAATCTAAAACAAGGTACTACGGTATGTTGACAGCCAGCTGAATCTTGGACTGATTCGTCATGAGTAATGTCTTTGGAAGGTCTCTGGTTCACCAAACAGCCTAGAATAGCTCAGGGCACATCATGGCTCAGTCCTGAAGCAACACTTTTGAGTGTTACAACAAACTGAAGACTGTGCTGTTAACAACTTACTGCGTGCAAATGAAAGGGGCAAATTTGCATTCCTGGTGTGTCATGAAACATCCATGAATAGTGTTTCTGGAGAATCCCTAGAAACATTTGTATGTCAGTAAATAGATATCTTCATTTTTTTAAGCATGCACGTGACTACTACTGCTACCTGTGTAAAGAGAAATTCAGAAACATGGACCATACGTATATGAACCCAAATCAATAAATGCAAATTAAGCTCCCAGACTTGGGTCATTTTTACTTTCTTCCTCCACAAAGAGCACTACTTTCTGGCTACGCAATGCTGAATTTTCAGAGAAAATACAAAGACTGTTATTGCTGCTGAAGATACCATGCTTATTTTCCAAAATCATGTGAAACTGTCCTTGTATTGAACTAAATACTACGGGCTCCCCATACTGTTTAGCAGCATCTAGCAGCATCCAGGACCAAACCTTTGAAAACAAAATATCTCTGGAAAGTGGTTTCTTTTCTGTGCTTGTACTGATATTGCCTTTTCTCAGAAAGCATCTTCACCCTCCGCAATGTCAATGATTATATGGAGCAAGTCTTCAAAAGTTGGGCGTCCCTCTGGTTTCTAAAAACAAAAGTATGTACAGCCATGATGAGAAAATAACAAAGCTTTGTTGGTTTGGATAAATCTTGGTCTTAGTATCATTCTGCAGAAGTGACTTTACCACTTTATTAAATGCGATGTGGAAAAAAAAATATTTTCTCGTGTAGATTTTGGATGCATTGCAGTTTCATAAAGTGTCACTTTTATTTCCGTGCTGTGAAAAACTATAATATGTACTGCTGGACTACACCTTTCCTGCAATTCATTATTTTGCATAGTGCCACACTTATTCATTTCTCTCTCCGTACCCATCCCCACCCCAGCCCCAATATATTATTCCAGTCTTCCTTTATGCAACTTGTTCATGCTCCTAAGCATTCTGAGCATTATTCTCCAAAATCTTTTACTTCCATATGATTTTTCATATAATGCAATGAGACTGCATTGTAGACTTATGCAATATTATTCTTCATTTATTCTTTTGTCCATATAATTCCCTATGTGTTGTAATATCCTCTTTGTTTTGTTTAACCAAAACAGTACACTGAGACAGTCCCTTTACTGACCTTAATGACAGAGTTAATGTAACATCTTTTGAATGCGAGTGTAAATTGCACCTTACCTCCACTTATCAATCTAAATAAATTTGTATTACCTGCTGAATTTTGAAGCCTTGCACACTTCTCAAATAATTAATAAATTGATCAAGCAAGGACTGAGATATCTAGAGTTAATCGTATTTTATGACAAAGACTGACTGCATGTTGCCATTATTTGTGCCTGTATGGGAACTGCTGAGTCACGGCCTGAACCTCTGATTGATCACCTGAGGCGAGCCATGAGTCAGCCAGAGGAGCACAGGTGAAGGCAATTCACCTGTGCTGCCGGAAGGGGTGGAGCCAGGCTGCACCCCTCCTAGACCTATTTAAGAGCTGGCTACCAGAGGGGAAGGATCTCTTCTGGAGATCACCTCTCTTGGTGTTTTGTGGTGAGCTCAGCCACAGGGTAAGCTCTTCCACTTATTCTCTTTTGTTATCGTTGTCTACTTTGCTTAACTCTCTTGATTATATTGTGATTATAACATCTTGATATCTATTGATTATACAGTGCCCCATTTGTGATTTGCAAAGATTCCTTCTTTCACACAATGTTTGCTTAGGTTTTACTGGTAATAACCTCTCATGAAATCAATACATTTTTAATCAATTGATGTTCATATGAATTCTAAAAATACATCTATATTGAAGGAGTGTTAACAAATAATTTAGTTATCTCATAGGTGATTTATTGGTCCATTTTAATGGAGATTTCAAGCAGGTTATCAAATACAAACAAAACTTAATGATCTATAATTTCCTGGCTCCTGTGAAAAGCCTTTTGGGACCATAGACATGTTTGTTATTTTGCAGCCCTCCAGGACACTGTAGTTTTTAATCTGCTTTTCATTTCATAAACCAACTGCTTTGTAAGCTTTAGATATTCACCAGTCAGTTTGGTGACTAACTACTTGTTCCAGCACCTTCTCAATCAAGACAAATGTCAGACAGCATGTCATCTTTCTTACAGGAAAAGAACAGACTCTCCTCAACAGCCAATGCAGAAAAGACAAACTAGAAAATCAATCATTTAGCTCTTTCCATCACTAGTTCCTCTGATTGCTCTCTGAAAACTGGAAGCAACTAATGAAATACAACTAACCTTTTCATATGGCTTCTGTTTTAATATCATGTTTCCGTGACAATTAGTAAAGTGAGGCAGTATCAAAATAAGTCCTCAATTCTGGACTATTTTGACTAATACAGTTTTGCAAGCAGTGCTTGTATGCAGAAATAATCATGATCAATTAAAACTTAGTGATTATTTCATTTTATTACTAAACTTATAGTTCATTTATTTCACAGAAATTTCTCCAGTGGCTGTTATCATTACAGCTGTACACTTGAAAACCTGAGAGAGACATATAGCTCCAAGACTGTCAACTATTAGATCACAGGAAAACAGGCTTGTACCTTTTTATTTTCTCACCCACATTCTGTGTGCAAAGCATGTGTTCAATTAATCTCAATTGTATCAGAACTATATTTGACTGCTCTGCCCCACTTTCCCCCTCCCTCCCTTCTTCTCACCTAAGGTATATATTTGTCACTGAACTAAAACCATTCTCACATTGATCCCTATACAGAACAATTCCCTCTACTTGACTCAGCTGACTCTCTTGTTGCAGCAAATTTACAAGTTGTCTACAAACATTCAGCTGTGGTCTACATCTCA